AGTTACACTTGATACCACAAAAATACAAAGCATTTCAAGAAATTACTATAAACAGCTATATGCCAAGAAATTGGACAAACAGGATAAAAGGGACAAACATCTAGAAACACAATCTTCCAAAACTGAATCAAGGAAAGCAGAAAGACTGAATAGACCTATAACAACTAATGAAATTGAAGCAGTAATAAAAAAAAAAAAACTCCTGGCACACAAAAGCCCTGGAGTGGATGGCTTCACAGGTGAATTTTACCAAAATTTCAAGAAGAACTAATTCATATCCTTCACTAACTATTCCTAAAGTTTCAAGAAGAGGGAAGAACCCCAAACTTTTTTTAGAAGGCCAGGATCATCCTAATTCCCAAACCAGGTAAAGACCACAACAAAGGAAGAAAACTACAGGTCAATATTTCTGATGAATATAGATGCTAAAATCCTCAAAAAAATATTGGCAATCCAGATACAGCAATTCATTAAATAGATCATACACCATGACAAGTGAGGTTCATCCCAGGAATGCAAGGATGGTACAATATTCACAAATCAATAAACATAATATGTCACATAAACAAAATGAAGGACAAAAATCACATAATCATATCAATAGATGCTGAAGAGGCATTTGATAAAATTCAGCACCCATTTATGATAAAGACACTCAGCAGAGTGGGAATAGAAGGAGCATGCCTAACATAATAAAGACCATATATAAAAAACCTACAGCCAACATCATAGTCAACAGGCAAAAACTAAAAGCTTTCCTCTTAAGATCAGAAACAAGACAAGAGCGTCTGCTTTCACCACTTCTATTTGACATAGTACTGGAAGTTCTAGCCACACAATCAGACAAATAAGAGAAATCAAAAGTATCCAAATGGGAAAGGAGGAAGTAAATCTGTCATTGTTTCCAGATCACATGATAGCGTACATAGAAAACCCCAGAGGCTCCACCAAAAAGCTACTTGACCTAATAAGTGAATTTGGTGAAATAGTGGGTTACAAACTCAATATTTAGAAATCAAGGGCATTTTTTTACACCAACAATGAAATATCAGAAAGAGAAACTAGGAAAAAAAACCCCATATACTGTAGCAACAGGAAAAATAAAGTACCTAAGAATAAACTTAACCAAGGAGGTAAAAGACCTGTACTCAGAAAACTATAGAATACTAAAAAAAGAAATTGGGAAGATACAAATAAATAGAAGCATGTACCATGTTCATGGATTGGAAGAATCAACATCATTAAAATGTCCATACTATGCAAAACAATCTATAGATCAAATGCAATTCCTATTAAAATGCAAGTGGCATATTTCACATATCTAGAACAAATATTTCAAAAATGTATATGGAAGAAAAAAGACCCAAATTAGCCTCAGCAATCTTGAGAAAGAACAAAATAGGAGTGATCACAATACCTGATATTAAACTATATTTCAAGGCCAATGTAATCAAAACAGTCTGGTACTGGCATAAGAACTGGCACATCGACCAATGGAACAGAATAAGGAGCCTGGAAATAAGTCCATGTCTCTATGATTAATTAATATTTGACAAAGGGAGCAAGAGCTTACAATGGAGTGAAAATAACCTCTTCAATAAATGGCGTTTGGAGAACTGGATTGGTACAGGCCAAAAAAACAAACAAAACAAAACAAAAAAAGCTACACCACCAGCTTACACCATACACCAGAATAAACTCAAAACAAATAAAAAACTCAAGTACAGGTCTGGCAGAAGTAATGTCTGCTTGAGTGTGGTTGGTAGAGTAATAGTCTGGGTGTAATAATTTATCATTTTAATTTGAACATTCATCTAAAATGTCATATGGTGTGCTTGAGTGTGATATTGTTATGTTACAGAAATACATGCTTATGATTTTGTAATAAAAGATTTTGTAATAAAAAAGGGGCATTATTTGTTCAGGACCCTGTATAAATCATGACACCATAAAAGTTCTAGATGAAAACATAGGCAGTAAAATTTCAGATATTCCCATATGCCAATATTTTTGCTGATGTATCTCCTAGAGCAAGGGAAATAAAGGAAAAGATAAACAAGTGGGACTACGTCATGTTAAAATCCTTTGGCATGGGAAGGAAACCATCATCAAAATAACAAGGGAACTGACTGTATAGGAAAACATATTAGTCAATGATATATCGAACCAGGGTTTGATCTCTAAAATATGAAAGAATTCATCTGACTCAACACCAGGAAGACAAACAACCCAGTTAAAAAAATGGGCAAAGGACCTGAATAGACACTTCACCATGAGGATGTACAGAGGGTCCATAGACATGAAAAAATGCTCAACATCACTAGCCATCAGAGAGATGCATATTAAAACCACAATGAGATATCACTTCACACCTGTCAGAATGGCCATGATTAGTAAATCAACAAACTACAAGTGCTGAAGAGGATGTGGAGAAAGGGGAATCCTAGTGCACTGTTGGTGGGAATACAGTCTGGTGCAGCCACTATGGAAAACACTATGGAATTTCCTCAAACAACTGAATGTGGAACTGCCTTATGACCCCGTTATTCCACTGCTGGGAATATACCCTAAGAATCCTGAATCACCAATTCAAAAGAACTTATGCACCAATATGTACATAGCAGCACTCTTTACAATAGCCAAGTGCCAGAAACAGCCTAAGTGCCCATCAGTAAACGAGTGGATTAAAAATCTGTGGCACTTTTACACAATGGAATATTATACAGCAGAAAGAAAGCAGGAGCTCCTACCTTTCGTGACAGCATGGTTGGAACTAGAAAATATTATTCAAAGTGAAACAAGCCAGGCGGTAAAAGAAAAATACCAAATGATCTCACATATAAGAGGCATCTAATGAATGAAATAAACTAACAAGCAAAGTATAACGAGAGTCATGGAAACATGGAACCAGCTGAGAGCAACCAGAGGGGAGGGAAGAGAGGGATAATGGTGGAAAGAAGATGAGGAGACTATTCAAAGAACGTATGAATGACCCGCTGACATGAATGACAGTGTGGGATTAACTGTGGGAGCGGGGGGTGGGCTGAGCAGAGGGCAAAGGGGGGAAATTGAGACAGCTGTAAAAGAATAACAATAAAAAATTTTAATAAAAGAAAATATCTATTTATGAATTTATGACCACATTAAACCTCTACGCCTTGTAAAGTAAATAAGGTTCTAAAGAGTCTATCTTTTCAACAGATCCTTGATTAGAGTGTGGATAAAACAGTTATCACAAAACCAAATGGAGAGAAAAAAATTTTAATATAACAGTAAAACCTTTCTATTCTGTAAGGTGAAATCTTTTGACTTCAATCAGCCCTTTAAAAGGCCAATTATAAAAAAATTGATTGACTGTCGATGATTCTAAAAAAATTGATAATTATTTATAGGAAAACTTTGGGTTCATGAACCACTTTTATTTGATTTTCCTGAAAACTTACCAGACAGAAAGTTCTCACTTTTATCCACCTTCATTTTTACCTTCAGAGTAGCTTTCTCCATAGCAACTGAAAACTTTGCTGGGCTGAAATAATCCGTTCCAGCTTCCAGCGCACAGTCAAGGAATTTTAAAAACAGAGGACTTTGCAACCACAAAATACTCTCTGAGATTTCAAAGGCCACAAAGCTCCAGATAAATAATCATTTGTCTTTCTTCTGAAGGTAAGCACTGGGTTTTAAAATGTTTGTATCATCTTCTGCCATTTTTAAAATGCTAACCCAAGAATCTTAAATTCCTTTAAAAAAAAAAACAACAAAAAACAACCCATACAAGCAATCCCAGTGTCTTTGTTCCTACCCCACAGTCACTATTAGCTCATCTCTGGGCCAAGATCTGACATGCTGTTAACATTGTGCATTTTTTCTCTGACATCTCCTTCACCTTCTTCTTTGCCTTCTCCTTCTTTTTGACAGGAAGCAGGATTTATTGTTGTGTGTAAAGTGGGGGCTGAGACTCTAAAATTTTGCATTTCTTAAGCAATCGTTTGAAAAGATTAATGTTTTTCCAGAAAGCGGATTAGCTCTAGAGTTGTCCCCTCACCCCTTTAATCACCCTGAGTATGTGGATTTATCATGGCTCGTGAGGTTTTCAAATTCTCTCTCTCTTTTTTAAAATTCTCACATGAGGATATGTTTTTATTGATTTTAGAAAGTGAGGAAAGGAGGGGTGGGGCGGGGGAGAGAGAGAGAGAGAAGAGGGCAGAGAGAGAAGGGCAGAGAGAAACAGATGTGATGAGAGGGAAACACCTGTCAGTTGCCGCCGGCATGTGCCTCAACCAGGGATCTAACTGGCAAGTAGGTATGTGCTTTGACAAGTAATCGAACCTGTGACCTTTTGGTTTACAGGGTCATGCTCTATCTGAGCCACCTGGCCAGGGCTCTTTTTTTAAAGATATCATTTGTACTTTTAATACACTAAAATCTAAAAACTAACCAGTGTTTTCTGAATGTTACTATTTTTCTTCTGGTATCCTTCTTTGTCAAAAACCTTCTAACTCAACATGACATTGGTAATTATTGAAATTTATTTTCCCTTTTGTTTTATTTATTTCAGCAATAGGGACCACAAACCACTGAGAGTTTTACTTAACAAGGAGACAAAATGAGGATGTTTCTTTTCCCTGGTCCGATGACTTATACCGCCAGAATAATGGACAGAAAAATGTATTCTTAATTTTTGACTCTAGGTTTAGTTCAGAGAGAGGCAATATATCAAAATTCTTGGCTTTCCTACAGTTTGAAGGTCTACAACCACGATAGTTTCTGGCCATTTGGGGTTATAAATGACCTACAGCCCCCTGTTGTTCACAAACAGCTTGTCATTGCAAATCAGCTTAGCCACCCCATTAATGAATCCTTTCAAATATGTTGCAGGCGCAATAATTAAAGACTTTATTTTCCCCCTTCACCACAGAAATTCCTTTGGTTACCATTTCACACCGTGAACACTAACCCGCCTACTCCATCCAAGACAGACTCAAGGTAAAGGAAGAGTGGAAATGTGCTTCTGGACAAGGCTCTTAGTCTTCTGCCTGCCATTGTTCCTTCTCTTCAGCCTTGTTCCCTCTACTGTGACAGAGAAACCTTCCACCCAGGACAGCAGCGGCACTTGGAGTCCTGGCCAATTGATGGAAGTACTCCGAGTTCTCTCTGCTGGCGACCACCCACCCCTGAACCACTCAAGAAGCCTCATCAAAATACTGTTAGAGAAAACTGGCTGCCCACGGAGGACAAATGGAATGCAAGGAGACTGCAATCTGGTTAGTGCCACAGAATGGGATCAGGTACTGGGGCAAGTTAAAAGAGAGCAATGGATTCTCTAGCCATTTACTTTGGGAAAGCACAATCAAGGTAAACCTTCCAGTACCCAAGTGTGTAGTGTACCATGGCACAATGACTACCATGTTTGGGAGACAAAAGATCATTCTGCCTTCTGCATATTACATTTAAAGACAGGGGGAATTTTCTTTTTTATTAAAATGGCAATGTTTTGTAAGCCTTTCTACAACCCTTCTGCAGGTTGGGAGGTATTGACTTGTGCATATGAATTTTGTTTTCTCTTTTTTCTTATTTACCTATCCCTTTTGTGAGTTTGCAGTGAACTCGCACATCATAGGTTAGCTAGATGCTCTTTCTGAGGCATAAAATTAGTGATTGGATGTTTGTCTAATGTTGAATTTTTAAGTACTTTTTCCCAGGTATCAATGGCATTTTCTAATATTTTGCATGGTGGCTAATGAATTGGATAATCATCTTCTTAAAAATAAGGAACCTGCGCTGGGAATGGAAGTGCCATGGGTAAAGCTAAAATGAGACCCAGGGCCCCTGAGTCCCCATCCCCAGCCTTTCCCTAGTCTACCAAGTGGCACAGTCCCTGGCTGCACATCCGCGTCACCTGGGCAGATTTCACTAAATAGCCATGTGGGGGCTGCTTCTTCCAGAGACTGTGATTAAACTTGCCTAGGATAGGATTTTTTAAAATTTCTTCAGTCCACTTTAATGTAAAATCAGCATTAATGTGAAATGAAAATGTCCCTGTTCGGGTGGGTAGGTGGGTGGCATGGCTGGGGGATGGACAGGACAGGACAAGAGGTAAGAACCCATGTCTTTAAATGACCCCAGACAAAACCATGCTTCGCCATTGCTTTCCTGACCCATGAGATTTTTCAGAATGAACCCACAAATAAATAAATAAATGAAGATGCCAAAAAAAAAAAAAAAAATCAGTAAGAGAAGCAAATAAGTGCCCCCTAAAATAAATTTGGGCAGACGTTCTCAATCCTGGTTGGTTCTAGGGGAAACGTTTCTGAACAAGTGTTTTGCTTTTTTTCATGACGAAAGGGTCTTGCTCATAGAATTTTTCTCTGTTTTGCACAAACAATAAATAATTCAATAACTGGTACTATTCCCAAGGGTTCCCAGAGAAAACATGTGTTCTAATAGGCAGCTCATCTGTGATGACATTAATTTTTATATATAGCAACATAATACTTCCCACTGGAAATAACTAGGAGTCATATCTTATTAGTATCCTCTGAGAATTTGCTTCAGGGAAATGTTCTCTAATGACATGACGTGCCTTTTTAAGGCTGGTTGAATATTAGGTTAGCTTGGGGGAATGTAAACATGCAAAATTGTTCTCCAGTTTTGGGGGGAGGAGGAGTTGTTTTTGCACTTTCTGGTTTCTGTGACATTATTGAGAATTTGGCCAAGTCAGCTTCCGTTTGATTTAGTTCCATTCTTAGGAAGTGAAACACTGTCTCTAATAGTTTTTCCCTCTTGCTGCTGCTATTTCTTTTTTTCTTTGGAAGAGCTTGAGATTTTGAAAGAGAGAGAGAGAGAGAGTGAGAGAGAGAGGCAAATCTCAGATTAGCCTGCTCAGAAGACCGCAGGTCACCCGAATCCCCATAAGCAAGGAGCCACGCCATCTCCCCGTGCCATCCATAAAAAGTCAGAAAGAAACAGTGTCCTGTTGATTTCACAAATACCCATGTCCTGGTGCAAATCACAGGCTTCAGTTGTCATTTTTAAGTACTTTTTCCCAGGTATCAATGGCATTTTCTAATATTTTGCATGGTGGCTAATGAATTGGATAATCATCTTCTTAAAAATAAGGAACCTGATCTTGTTGCCTTTTTTAGGGACTTCGTCCACTGAGAGGCAGCATTTGTATTAGAAATTTTGTGGTGAAAAGAGGAAAAGGCGTGAGTTCATATCCCCAAACATCTGAAAAAAGAGGAAAGTGAGGATGCAAAAAAAAAAAAAAATTCTCAATTTTATTTTGGGTCCAGGTAAAAACTGAAGTCTTTTAAAAATTAATCTGAAACATTTGAGAGCACTGTGCTTTTCAAAATAAATTTATTCAGGCTGCAGCTTTAGAAAATGGGTAGTCTTGCCCGAGCGGGGCCTTTTCTTTTCTTAATGAGAAGGGTTAGGATGGAGTTTTGATGAATTTAATGAGGGATTAAGTGACTCCAAAGGATAAATTTCACTTCAGTAATAATGAGAACCACGACCGTATGTGGGTTACAGGTGTGGTGAAGGGAAAAGAACCTGGTGGGGTCTGGAGTCGGTCAGCAGTGTTCTGGCAACTTCTAGCTGTTAGGACTTGCACAACTTCAACTTCCTCCTCCGCGTGACCTAGGCAGAGATTCCTTCCTCAGGCTGCTCTCTGTGAGGAACACATGGCTGCGTTTCAATGAGCTCGGACACTGCTTGCCCCCTTACACTTCCTGTACCTCATGGAAGTGTCCAGTCGTCCTTTCCCAGGGACACCGAAGCAGTGTTTGCAAAGGACCCGCAGTGCTGCTGAGACAGGAGACATTCCTCGGCCCCCCCTCCTGCTGGCGCCCGGTCCTCCTCAACTGTCCCGGGGGCTTGGGGTCTCTAACCGAAGTCTCCAGGCAGTTCTCAGACCAGTTCAGGGAAGAGAACGGCAGCTTTAAGGCTCTGCATTTAATTCACACCCCTCCCTCCTTTTGTTGTAACTGTCAGGCAAAAAGTGTAAAAAGCATCAAGCTTTATCTTGTTTATCTAACAAGTCTATCTTAACTCTTCTCAGCTAAGACTTTTCTTTCTGGCAGTCAGAAATGCCATGAAATCTAGAGCAGACCCACAAAAAGCTAGTGCCTGCCATCAGCTGACATCCATCCTGATCTTTGTGTAGGAGGAACTTGAACTACAATTTCCCTCTTGTATTTTACAGTCAATTGTTAGTACCCTCCCAACCCCCACCACAAAATACCTTATAAAAAGCCAAGAATTTAAAAGAGGTCAGTGGGTTTACTCATAATCCCAAATCAAATTCTAAACATCTTTTGGTCTAAAATCCTTCAAGTTTATCCTGCAGATTTGACAACTGCTTTATTCATGCAGAAGGATTTCACATAGCTTTTGATCTTGAGGCTCTTATCTGGCAGACAAACAACGAGTGAAGCTGAAATTAGAGTGAGGCAGAAAATTACTGCCTAATATCTGAGTGGTCCATTTAGCTTAGTAAGGAGGGCTTCTCACATTTTAACCAGTCTCTTCCCAAAGTTTATAAAAATTTTAGAACTAATTCCCAGAATCTGTGCTTTCCCTTTAAACCTTATGCCTCCACCTGACAAGAGTAAAAGAGAAATCAACAAATTATTCCTGAATGAGCCCATTCTTCTTAACAAAGAACTATTACACTAGAGTGAGAGCTTTGGACAGATCTTGAAGCATATGCAGTGCCAGTGTTTGCAAAATTTTACTAAACATCTTCTCCCAGACTTAAATGAGCCTCTGCAAAAACTTTAGCTAAAACTGTGGTGATGAGCTGAAAATTCTCACCCCCTCACAACTCGCTCCCCATAGTGCTTTTTGTCACATCCATGCTCAGACGAGAATTCATATTTCCATACATCAGCTCTTCTGATGTGCCCTACAGACTTTCCTCAAGCTGCTACCTTCTGAATTAAGGGAATTTGTCTAAGATTCAAATATCATAAAAGAGCATAAAGCTTTCATCCCACAGTCATTTGATTCACAGTCAAGCTTCCTTTCAGCAGGCCTCAAAAAATTAAAGCAAGGGATAAGTAACACCTGTTTATTCAAGATGACCAAAATCTCTAATCAGACAAAATGAGCTGCCTCCACAACTCTTTAAAACTGTTCAAAGTCAGAAACCAACTTACTTTCCAAGTTGTATGCTTTTACAAAGCATTTCTGGAGAGACCATCTTCAGGGTTACAGATCTTACGCAATTCTCTGCTGCCCTGTGCCACATCCAGCCCTAGGAAGAGACAAAGTAAGGGTGTTAAGGAGGAGCTACGAATGGACAGGGGTCTCAAGCACCTCAGGTGGGATGAAGGGTGGACACATACACTGTTTTGTGCTGTCAACCAAGCTCTGTCCACATGTGCATGGTCTGGTGGCCTCATGGAAGTCCTATTCCTCTTGTTCTTGACACCCTTCTTCCTGCCTACCTGGCTCCATCAAACAAGCTGAGCAGCACTTGAAAGTCTATGAACATGACCTCATTCAACCCTCTGGTCATGGCATTTTTTTTTCTATGCAAAGTGATTTTCTCCTTTATATCACTGAAAGTAAATTACAACCATATTTACAGCAGCATCTGTACTGGTTTCAGCGGAGAACACAGTCCTGCCTGGTTTCTTATTCCTTAAAAGGTAAATATTTTTTATTGCATTTTTTGCCATAACCATTTATCTCCCTTATACCTCCCTCCCTCCTGCAACCACCATACTATGTCCATGTCCATTAAAAATGCATCTGCCATTTGATCCAGCAATCCCGCTTCTGGGAATATATGTGAAGGAACCCAAAACACTAATTTGAAAGAACATAAGCACCCTTATGTTCATTACAGCATTATTTACAATTGCCAAGACATAGAAGCAGCCCAAGTGTCGATCAATAAGTAAGTGAATAAAACAACTATGGGACATTCACGCAATGGAATACTACTTGGTCATAGAAAAGAGGAAAACCTCCCTTTGTGACAGCATGGATGGATCTGGAAAATATTATCGCTAAGTGGAATAAGCCAGTCAGAGAAAGACAAATACCATATGACTTCACTCATGTGGAATCTAATGAACCAACAAGAAAATAGAGACAGACTCATAGATAGTGAGCAGGATTACAGTTATGGGGTTGGAGTGGAGTTCGGGGGTGGAGGGATGGAGCTAAAATGTAGCATATTCTTATTGATAGATATGAGGCCTTACCAGTTCCCTAGCCTGTTCATTGATCAAATTTCTTCCCACCAAACAGAAGGGAGAGAAAATTACTGGATGAGGGGCTCAGAACAAGTACATAGGTGGGCCCAACATCTTATCTTCTCCACGGCAGAAAACACAATAAAATCTATCTTTGGCAGAACAGGGATTATGACTGGGAAAATGCCATTAGCTGTTTGGCTTTAGGCATATTATTTCCCTTCTCTTAAGCTTAGTTTTTACAAATACTGTGTGTATACCTCCCTCAGAAGGAAAATATAATTTATACTTGTTTTTGTGCAGAATCCTCAAGTACTGCATATAAATGTACCTATTAATTCATTATACAGTAAATAATTGGGTAATTGTATTCTAAATACATTATGCAGAAATATTTGGTGGATTTTTACAGAAGTTGTGGACTTTTTTCTTCATTTAAAATAATGTAATAAGGTTCCCACCATCCAAAAAAATCATTATCTGACACTTTTTCCAGGACCAATTAGATTTATAGACTGAGGAATGCCTAAATGTATAAGAGCTTAACACTGTCTTGTACACATGGCTTCCAATAAATGGTACCTAATACTACCAATACTTTGGTTTCAGAGGGTTATATGGTAAAAATAATGGCTTTATTTTACCTGTTTCAACTGACTCACCTTCTAGGGTCTTGGTGTGATAGCTGCCAACAGCAATCAGCCAATGGACTTTTCTAGGGGGCTACTTAGGGAACAGAAAGATTACTGTGGTTTCAGTGATGGAGCTCAATATTCATTTTTAGCATTGGTCTTATTGGGAAGCCTGCCCCTCTGTTTGCTGAGTTCTTGTCCCTTGCAGTTGAGTTGGGGAGAGACTGGAGTCTGTGTGGCTTGTGAAGATGTGATTAGAGCTTTGCTTTAGAGATGGGTGACGTGTATCTTTGTGACTCAGACACTTTGTGTCAAATGTTACCCAGGGAGATGCACAGCAGATATGGAATTAGAACCACTGAAACTGCCGCCTCAGAGAGTAGATTAAAAGATGTAGTAATATAATACTGTAATTATAGGGAGGAAGTGGGTAAAATGGATGATGGTAGTCAATGGTACAAACTTCCAGTTACAAGATCAATCCTGGGGATGGAATGTACAGCATGGTGACTGTAGTAAATATTACCATACTGTATGTTTGAAAATTGCTAAGGGAGACCTTAAAGGTCTCATCACACACAAAAAATTTAACTATGTATGGTGATGGATGTTAACTAGACTTACTGTGGTAATCACACACACACACACACACACACACACACACATATCATCATTATCTTGTACATCTGAAGCTAATGTGATGTTACATATTATACCTCATCAAAAAAAGATACAAGTGGTCCTACAGTAGGACAAATCCCTCTGGGGCTCAGGACTTGTATCTCTCGATGCCTTCAGTGTGAGGCTTGTGCTCTGTAAGGGGCTGCTTCGGGGGTCCTGGGAGAATTCCCAGAGCTCCCCAACTGTCCGTCAAGAAAGGCAGCTCCTGTCTTGCTGGGAGAATTTCCCCTCAGTAATCGCTGTGTCTGTCTTTTCCTCAATGTTCTACCACATTACCTCAAACACCTTCTTTTTCCAGATTAGATAAGCCAAGTGACTGTCTATAGGCTGTGAAATAAATAAAGGATCATGGAAACACTTTTAGCAATTCTCTTTGGTTAAAGAGAGGCTAAAAGAGAGGCAGATGGCATTCATGCTCTCCATTTTCATACCTCATAAATGCCATGCATCGTGCTAGCTGTCAAGACGGCACTGTGCACAAAGCAGACAAAATTCAGCCTAAATAGACTAGTTGTCATCAAGGGGAGAGAGAAAGAAACCCATAAACAATGTAGTTTTAGATTTCTAGAGCTGTGAAAAAAATAAAACATGGTGAATGCCAGATCTGCCACTAGCTGCATGCAACTCTCGGGCACTTGAAATGTGGCTCATCTGAGCTGAGATACACTGGGCAGTTAGAATACACACCAGATTTCAAAGATTTATGACGACCAAAAGAATGTTAAATAGCTCATTGATGATTTAAAACTTTTTGAGTATTAATACATGTTGAAATGATTGTATCTTGCACATAAATGTTTTAATAAAATATATTATTAAAATTAATTTCACCAGTTCCTTTTTACTTTTTAAAACATGACTACTAGAAAATTTAAAATGATTTGCATGGGTTACTTTTGTGGCTTGCATTCTATTTGTATTGAACAATGCTGTGCTGGAGAACGTGGGATGCTGGTGGGGGCTTTCAACTTTGGACAGCATGTCCTGGAGACATCCATAAGGGATGAGCTTTAAACTAAGCTCAGAGAAGTGAGGAGAACAAGAAGACCTGAAAAATGATGCGAAAGAGCTTGGTGGAGTTGGTAGAAAAATCACAGGGGCAGAAGTTTGGTGAGAAAGGTGGAGAGGAGCTAAAATAATGTAGGGAAAGTAGGTTAGGCAGCTGCCAGACTGAAGAGAAACTTATAAAGAACTTGGATTTCATTCTAAATGCGATGGGCTGTTGCTTTCAAAGTCGAAGGGTCAGCTGGTTGTATTCAAGGTAGCAAATGGACAAGTTGTGGTGCCGTAGTTGGAGACAGAGGGACCACTCTTAGGGAATAAGAACTTTCTGGGAGGGCTTCATTGTAACATAAAAGTCCAACTGTGACTTTCTTATTTGAATCTGGCTGTTGGGCCTATCCACTTTCCCCTCCTATTGATACAGTTATAAGCAATGGAAATGGTGGTCATTAGTGTTCTAGGATGATTTGTTAAGTTTTGTTTCTGTTTCTGTCTTTGTTTTTTGCTTTTCATTTTTGCTCAGTGCTTTGAACCAGATGCCCTGTTGCTAATAGCTGGAGGAGGTTTCGAAGATCAGCTCAGAGAGGAAGTGGTCCAGAGAGTTTCTCTTCTCCTCCTCTATTACATTATTCACCAGGAGGAGATTTGTTCTTCAAAGCTCAACATGAGTAATAAGGAGTATAAATTTTACCTACACAGCCTCCTCAGCCTCAGGCAGGATGAAGACTCCTATTTCCTTTCACAGAACGAGACAGAAGATATCTTGGCCTTCACCAGGCAGCACTTCAACACTTCTAGAAGCCAGGTATGAAGGGCAAAATTGCTAACTGGCTCCGCTGCTAAGTGAGACATAGCCTTGGAGCCTTTTTTTTTTTTAATCAGTTATTTATTCCTAAGATATTTAAGGACTTCTAAGAGAGGTAAGTATTTGTAGCTTTTAGATATGGATATTAAGTGACATAATCAAAAAATGAATTGAAATGGGAAATGTAGCGAGTAATTATTGTAAGATGAGTTTGAGTCAGAAGTTGGGTGGGTGGGTAGGGGGGTGAGCAGGCCAGATGGCAGGGTAGCTGTCTTCTCCTGAGTGCCACCCCCACAACACACACTGAGCATGAAAGTAAGTGTGACTTATGGCGTTTGATCAATCTCCAAGGACTGACCAATAGTGGTTAGGGCACTGTGTCTATTTACCTTGCCTTCTGGCCAGGGAAGGGGAAAGCAGAACCAGTTTGAGTGAGATGAATATATTAGTTATTTCACCAAAGAAGCAGCTTGCAAAAAGCATGATGTATGAGACAGTATCTCTCTTGCGGCTTTTGATTCCTGTTGCATATGCTCTGGGGTCCCTTCAAGAGCTTTTCTTCACTCACAATTCCTACTGTTAGGGAGCAGGCCCTGCTCTCTTGTTTGCCTTCGTTACTATCCCGACAGATGCTGGCCTTCCCATTACCTTCGTGCTTTCCCCTTTGCGTCGGGACGTTTAAGCAGTTTAAGTTCTCTGATCATAAGAAAGTTTTTTAAAAGCATGTTTTCTGAAAGAACTAGTTGAGGAGCCACTGCCACGTTTTGAAGAGTGTGAGAAAACATGTTTTTTTCTCTTGAAATATTCATTGACATGAGTCTTAGTTGACTTGAGCTTCTATAAACTGGATGACTATAAACAACAGAAGTTTATTTCTCAAAGTTTTGGATGTTGGGAAGCTCAAGATCAAGGAGCTGGGCAGATTCAGTGTCTGGTGAGGACCTTTTCCTGGTTCACAGATACCATCTTCTCATTGTATCCTCACGTAATGGAAGGGGCAGGAAGCTCTCTGGGTCCATTTTATAAGAGAACTAATCCCATTTATGAGGGTTCCACCCTCATGATCTCATCACCTCCCAAAGGCCCCGCCTCCTAATATCATCACCTTGGAGTTTAGGATTTCAACATATGAATTTGGGGGAGGGGTACATAAACATTCAGGCTATAGCAACATGTGTAAGTGAATTTGATTCTTTTGCCCTTAATTCTGTCTTACACGAGCTCACAGGTAACAGTATAGTCATGTTGCCGCTTAATGGCCAGCAAATATGTCACCAATTTGCCTTAAATGTTTAATTTCTCTTGTTATTGGCAGGAAAAATGGAAAAACATTTTACTAAGGACTTTACATCACTTTAGTTAACAAGTTCATGAATCTCAAAATTTGGACATATATTTTTGTTTTTATTTCCAATTGAGAAAATGGGATTTCTTTATATAATTCAGTATTTTCGCTTAACTAAGGAGGTGTTCCCACATATAATACCTTCACTACAATATCTATACAATAGAGGATCAGTGCAGATTATCCACTAGGATTTTAGTCATCCTATCTGTTACTGTCTTTTGATGCAGATTAAATCAAAATGGGAACCCAGAGCTTAAAAAGCAGGTCATATGTGTATACTTAATACAGATTTCTGGTGGTCCAACATACTGCACATAACTGGGCTTCCAAGTGTTCAGAGGATTAAACATTCCTAGGACAGAATAAAATAATTCAATATTACTTGTGAACCTACTTTATTCATCTATTTAGTGAAGGAGAATTGAGCTTTTATTGAGACAAAACCCTTTGCTATGACTTAGATCAATTATGTCCTGGAGGAAACCACTGTTCCAGTTCCCAAGAAGGGTCTTTTAGCCCTTTCACCTGGGCTGAGATTCCTTTCGGAAGTCAGTCAATCCAGACTCTTACAGGAGGCCTGCTGGCACCTCATTGCAGGGTGCTGCTCTCTCCAACTAGAGGCTGTAAGGTCACAGAAGGTGCTGGCAGACCAGGCCCACTATGATTAGCATTTCTAGGTCTTGGTCTGCACAGGACTCAACCTCCATAGGTCAAACCACTAATAGCTGCTCCAGGTGGGTTTTAACCAGCTCACCAAGAGAAACAACTTTATACCATAGTAGTCTAATCCAGCCATCCTCCCCAGCAGCCCAGAGGGTAAACATCTCTCCATTTCTTCATTTTTTTGTCCAACTACTCTATTTTATCTTCCTGACTCAATCTTTTAATGCTCACTGCTCTCTCTGTTCTTTCCATGGTTTGCCATTTCCATGGTAGATGAAGAGGAATCTGTACTGTTCTCCACTGGCCCTGCCTCTTATATGGAGGACCAGCATCATGGCCATGCCCTAAGGACTTTAGGGATGGAAACAGTGGTTGGAATTCTTTCTCCTCAATGTCACTTTGAGACTACGACTCCTTACAGTCTTCATGAAAAACACACACCTCTGTGAGGTTCATAATATCTGTTATTTCAGCTTGTTGTTTTCATCCATGCAACTTCTGGCTACTTCTTCAAATTTATCGAAAGCTTGGTTACTCACTCAGCCTTTCATTCTGTTCTCCACCACAGCTATGAATATGCTCTTGCCAAGCTCAGCAATTACAAACTTAAAAAAAAAAATCCAATTGGCACTTTTCACCCCGTCCTATGTCACAAGAATGCAACATAGACACGACAATCTCTTGATTCCTATTTTGATGAACCTTTCTCCTTCTCCTTATAGCTGAGCTCTCTCTCATTCTTTGTTTCCTTACATTTTGTTTCTCATCAATCTATGTTCTGCTTTGTGCTCTCACACTTTTGTCCTGCTCTTCCTCCATGAAACTGTGTTTTATTCATTGATTTCTGTCATCCTATATTTCATGGTTTTTTTTTCTATTTCCATCAATCCATAGCCTTGTTTTCTTCTCACTGGTCTAGCTGTTCTGTATCAAGTTTCTCTGGAGGATACTTGTTTAAGAGATGTGCCATCTCTTCAATCTTGTGTCCTCCATGGCCCCACCATCTGTTTTGCCTCTGCTCACTCTTCATGCTCTTGCTGAGCAACATGTTCTCACAGCATCATGCACAACCAAATACTGATTGCTTTCAACTTTGCTGCTGACCCAGATATTTCTTTTGAGCTGTAGACTCATTTATGCACCAATCTAGCAGAAATATCCAATTGGATATCTCCCTGGCACCTGAAGCTCTGTATTAAAATCTAAGACTTCTTTTTATTCCTGAACCTGTCCTTTCTTTGGTGTTGCTTAGGGAGCTCTTGAAACAGTCTCTACTCCGGCTTGTATAACATTGCACATTCCTAGTTTTCTTTCTCCCTTCCTCTCTCTGGCCCCCATTTCCACCTATGCAGGCTCTAGTTTCTCTGGGCAGTTCTTATGCATTAATGCTCCTTAAGGCCTTGTCTCAGCTCCCTGTCATTCCATTTGCATTCTCCAGGCTAGGACATCTATACACACTGTTAACTCACAGGAGTGTATCTCCATTCTAGAACTCTCTTCTGGATTCCAGACCCACGTACCCTACAGAGCATATATATTTTTTAAGGATATTGTAAAGGCACCTCACACTTAACATATCCAAAATCAAGGTCCTGAATAACCTGGTGAGACAGGGACCTCTTGTATTGCTCCATGTGTTAGTGAATGGCATCTCTAGCCAATCCGTTGCTCAACTAAAAATTTAGAAAACTAAATTTCTTTCCCTTTCAAATCTAATCCATCTCCAAGTCCTACTGCTGTTACCCCCTGAAGATGTCCTTAACCTGTTTACTTTTCTCCATTACTATCACTACCATCTTCTGCCTGGCCTGTTGCAATAGCTTTCTAACTGTACAACTAGTAATCACTGAGTATCTTTCCAATCTTTTTATTCTCTACCATGTGGCCAAAATTGATTTATTAAAACAGAAATCCAGTCATATACCTCCTATTTCCATCCCTTGTTCAAAATCATCCTTTGGCTTCCTGTTTTTTAGGATATGGGGCAAACTCTATTACCTGCCAACAGATCTGCAGCTTTTACCATGCTCCCCTCACTCTACCTGCTCCAGCTGTTACCCTCCTTCCAGCCCTTCATATTTGCCATACTCTTTCCTTCCTCAGAAGCTTCGTCCACACTGTTCCTTTTGCCTGGAATATTCCTTCCTGTACTTCCTTCAGATCTAACTGTGTGTCACAGTCTCAAGGAAGCCTTCCTTGACCTGCCTGAATGAATAGAGTTGCTGTCTGTTTTTACCTTCATTGTACCATGTGCCTCGCTTCAAAGCTGTTGCTACAGTTGTCAACTTATATTTGGTTACATTATTATTTTATTAGTGATACTAAACTTTAAGCTCTGGGGAAGAGAATACTTCTGGTTTCAGTTGTCATTGCATATCCAATACCTAGAAAAATAGCAGATTTATATTGGGTATTTAGGAAAAATTTGGAGGTGGTGGATAGCATTACCATTATATAGTTGTCAAACCCAGAAACATAAGTCCTTTTTGACTGCAGTCCTTTACATTTTTCTCCAAACCCTTTAGTCTACCTTCTTAATATTCTTCAAAAGCTTCTACTTATTTTCATCTCTAGCACTACCATTTTAGGTCAAGAAATATCTTGGATTAATCAATAACTAAACTAGGCTTCCTGCCCTTATATTCTACCTTGTCCATCTATTCATTACTTTGCCATCATAGTGATGTTTCTATAAAATATGTTATTGTATATTTCTCTTGTTTATTTAATTTAGTGGTTCCCCTGGAGTCTCCAGGGAATTTTTTTCATAGCACTAAATATAAGGCCATTCTCAATCTGGATCTTGCCAGCCCACTCTCAGATTTGTACTAGACACTGGTAACAACACTAATAGTAGCTCAGATTAGCTAACTCTGCCCTGTGTGCCAAGTGCGATATTAAGTGTTTTACATGCCCTATCCCATCTAATCTTTACAACCTTGGTGTTGGGTGGCATTGTGCCTTTTAACAGATAATGAATAGGAAAGTTAACAAAGATAATCATTTCGCATGCAGTCACCCCATTAGAAATAGCAAAGATAGTATTAAAGCTTTTCCTTATCTGTCTATCCCAAGCCCTATGCTATGGAAGCTGCTTTGATGATATAAAAATCCCATCACCATCCTGTGTTTCAACCTATTTCTATACACAAAAGGAAGAGTATTGACCAATATAGACTGTGGAGTCAGATTGGAGTGCATGTTGGGACTCTGCCCTTTATTGGCCAGGTGATCTGTGAAAAGAGTACCCACTGCACAGAGTTATAGGAGAATGAGAATACAGCATATGTGTAATGGACCTAGCACAGTGTCTGGCACATAGTAGGCATTCAATAAATATTTAAATAAATGAACAGGGATACTATTGGGATATAAGAAAAAATCCAAACCTTTCAGATGCTCATAATTTAAATGAGGAAAATTGTATGTATGAAAAAGGTCTTATGTCATATATCCTATGGTAGTTCAAAGAACACAGACATCATGCTACCTTTGATCTGTGATCAGCATACATTGTGCTTAAGACTAAAGGCACGTGTGAAAGAGGGGATGTGCTCTGTGATGATACAAGGCAGCAGAGCCAGTGTGAAGTCAAGGTTGAGAATGCAGATTTGAAAGTCATTACTGCAGGCTATCCCTGAAGTTGGAGAGAAATAATCCACCAAATGAAAGGATGTAAACAGTTAAAACAAGAGAACTCCTTGGAGAAAACACATCTTTAAGGGATGTGGCAGATAAAAGACAAGTGTTTTCCAAATAGAGGTATCTCAGACTAGGGAACAATGGTAGCCATATTACCATAAACAATTTAATCCTCTTTGATGAAGAACTATTCCTTGTCTTTGGGGAAATCCTGGAGATGTTTTAATCAAAATAAACTCAGAAGCTAAAATTTTGTTCTTACTCTGTATCTGATCTTAGTGTATGGGAACCAAAATGCTGCAGAAAAAGTCTGGAATACTAAGCAGTGATGGTGCTGATGAAAATACACTTCCTCGGTTGGCGGCAACAATCATTGCTTTGTCTCTTCAAGGTGTTTGTCTGGGGCAAAGAAACTTACCGTCCCCAGACTACTTTACAGAATATATTTTCAGTTCCTTGAATAGTACAAATACTCTTCACCTGTCAGGTAAGGATGTTTTTCATGAATTTAACTTCTAAGTCACATCTATAAAATAAATTGTGCCAAAAAGAAAGACTGATGCTTTTTGATGACTAAATTTGTTCAGGTGTGTGTTATAAACCATTTCATCTTAACATGTAGTAAGACAGCTCAGATGGCCTTTTTAAGCAAACATATTATGATGACAATTACGCAGTGCTGAAGTAAAAATATGGACTTGGTCCATTTCTGCAGTGATGCTGAAATTATGGGTGTAGAGCCAAAAGGAGAGTTCTTAATGATCTGACATAGGTACTAACTGGACACTTTCCTATTTAGTACATAGTACTGAGCCAAAGGGTTACAAAACATGGTATAGACTGATGAAATAGCAGGCCCAATGGTCCAAGAGCCTTGGTAGCAGTTTGCTCGTAACCATAAAAGTCATTTAATTTTAAATAAAAGTAATATGAAATACCTATTTTGGCTACATTCATGACTGCCAGCTTTTGGGGGGCCCCAAGATGAAATGGTGATGGGAGGTACCACATCCTGTGCAGTCCCCCTGGATTGCCACAAATGGAGGAAAAATAAAATAAGTCGTTCCAGACACTTCTTGGTCTGCCAGGAAAAGGGGGTGGCTATTCCCTCTAGTGGAGAATGCCCATAGCCCTTCCCTTAAAGTGGCTTTTATTGAGAATGATACGGGCAGAGGTATACAACTTGGATGCAAAGCTTATCAATCTATGTCAAAAGGCTATGTTTACAGAAAACAGATAGAGATCATAGATAACAATTGAAGGAACACAGAGATTTGCCTCAGGTCAGGGTATGGTAGACAGGATGGTGCCCATTCAGCTCTGAAACCTGGGAAACTGATCACATTCTATGCTCGACCCCAAACATCAGTACTCATTAACTCGAGGGCATTCCTAGCAAAGTAAGTTTAATGGGATTTAATGCATTCCTTTTCCAGGCCTAATTATCCCTGGAAACTGCCCAATCCAGTTTAGGGCTGTACCTGCCTTTAATATTGTTTCACTGAATTAATATTCAGTGGTGGGTGTGTTTTTCTACAAGTCATTTGTATAACTTGTTAAGATGGAAGTTGAAGTACAACTAAACCATATTACCTAGCTGCTATAACTAGGAAAGAAACTAGGGAAAGACAAGATATGCTGAGAGTAATTTTGATATGGAAACCAGCAGTTGAGGAATTTTAGCAAATAGTTTCCATTTCAGAAGAAGGCATGCAATGATTCCACTTTGCAAGTAATGTAAAAATCTATGCCTTTGGAAGGCTTGACCACTCTAAGAAATTGGAAGAGGCATCAGACCATAAGACAGAATACAGTAAGAGGAAATCTGTGCTGTAAGGTCCAGGCCAGTTGTTTAGATATTAATCATCATGAATCTTGGTTAAAAAATCCAGTAAGTGCTCATAAGAGATGTTCAGTATCACCCATTTGGGCAAAAATCAGCTATTTTTTTTCTAATTCCTTCACCTTTTTCACCCAATACTCCTAACCCCTCTCCCATCTGGCAACCATCAATGTTCTCAAGATCTACAAGTCTGTTTCTATTCGGATTGTTTATTTAGTTTGTTTTTTAGATTCAATTGTTGACAGATATGTATTTATTGCCATTTTATTCATATTTTTTATCTTTTTTCCTTCTTCTTGAATAAGACCCTTTAATGTTTCATGTAATACTGGTTTGGTGGTGATGAACTCCTTTAGCTTTTTCTTGTCTGGCAAGCTCTTTATGTGTCCTTCACTTCTAAATGATAGCTTTGCTGGATGGAGTAATCTTGGTTGTAGGTCCTTGCTTTTCATCACTTTGAATACTTCTTGCCACTCCCTTCTGGCCTGCAAAGTTTCCATTGAGAAATCAGCTGACTGTTATGAGAGTTCCCACATAGGTAACTAACTACTTGTTTATTGCTGCTTTTAAGATTCTCTCTTTGCCTTTAACTTTTTGCATTTTAATTATGATGTGTTGTGGTGTGGGCCTCTTTGGGTTTATCTTGTTTGAGACTCTCTGCACTTTCTGGACTTATATGTCTATTTCCTTCACCAGGTTAGGGAAGTTTTCTGTCGTTATTTTTCAAATAGGTTTCCTTTCTTTTTTTTCAATTCAATTTATTGGAGTGACATGGTTTCAGGTTTACCATTCTATGTACATCATCTATATATCGTACTGTGTGTTCACCAGCCCCCCAAATCACATTTTTGCATTTGAGAATTCAATTTCATTTCAGAGTCTCATTCCATTTCAGTGTCCCAGGACCAGCATGGAGTGGTGGTCCGTTGGGGGTGGGGGTGATGTAAGATTGAGAAACAGACGACACAACACAAAGACACAACACACGACAGTATAAAGAAAAGCAGGGGCCAGATCAGGGCCCTCTGATGGAGAGACAATGACCCTGAACACGGTCTCCGTGTTTATTTTATGGGGGTTGGTTAGATGAAGCTCAAGGACGTTTTGCACCTGCAGGCGAAAATTGCTCATTTCCCTGGCTACCTAAATGATAAAACTTTCTTCTGCCAGCTTGCTCTGCCTTGCAGATGCAAGCAGTCAAGCATGGCCTTGCCGAGCACTTAACCTGGGCTTTGATGCCAGCGGTCACGATCCCCCACATCACTGCAATGAGATGCTCAGTCAGGAGCCATGAAGCATTTTCTCTAACAGCTGCCTCTGAGCTACAGCTCTATTGCAACTGATTCTATTTTGGGGATGGGAAGAAAAGAAGTACACTAGTTTTAAGTGCTTAAATTTTTTATTTTAGAGATTCTTAAACATAAACAAAAGTAGAAACAATAATATAATTAACCCCCATGTGCATAGTATCTAGCCTCAACAACTGCCACCAATTGGATAATCTTCTATTTGCCTTTGTTCTTTTCCATTACTTGATAATTTTGAATCAAATAATCAACCTTAAATATTTCTATATGACTCTCTCTCAAAAAGACTTTTTAAAAAGCACCTTATTACCAATATCACATTAATGATCCCTTAATATCATAAAGATTTCCATTAATGTTGACATTGTTATGTTTAATTAAAAATTTTTTTTGTTGAATTATGATATAAATAAGGTACAATAAATTCAATTGTGGGTATGTTTCTTCAGTTTCTTTATAGGTATCATGCCTTCCCTTTCCTAACACTACTTCCACCTTCTCTATTTTGTTGCAATTTTATTTTGTTACAAAAAAGGGATTGTTTATCCAGTCTGAATTTTGCTGATTGCACTTCTAGTCATTTCATATGTATTTCTGTGCACTGTGTTTCTTGTATATTGGTTGTTATATGTAGAGTCTTGATTGATTTTAGGCTGTATATTTATTTAGAGGTACTGTCTTATAGTCAGTACTATCCATCAGAAGGCATATAACATCAGTTGTCTCCCTTTTTTAAAAAAGTTATAAGGTATTGATGATCATTGCCTAGATTGATTAGTTATTTAGAGTTTATGAAATGGTGACTAATTCTCTGATTTCTTCATTGATTAGTATAATAATTCTATAATGGGAAAAGTCTCATTCATCATAATTTCATTTTATTGAAGTTCTTAAAGTAAGGATAAATTAATTCTTTAGTTTACTACTGTTTAAAATAATAACACAGTTTCCTTATATCCTTTAAAGGAGAACAATGAAATTTTCTATATCATTATGATTTTATATCTCTTAATCCTTGTAATTATTACCCAAATTGGTGCTCAGAGGGTTTCCCTTTTTGCCCAGTGGAATCTTATTCAATTTGGCTCCCAAATCCTTTCAATAAAACCCTTAAAACATTTTATATCTACTTTGTGTTCCAGTATAAGATATTCTAGTTTATCTTGTACATTTCCTGCCAAAACCTAGAATCAGTTGTTTCTTCAAATATTTATCTTCATATAAACAGTCAAACTTTTCTCTTTTTGCTTTTAGATTTTGAGTTATAGTTAAGAAAGTTTCCCACATTCTCAGATAATAAAGGAAGTCACCCACGTTTTCTTTTAGTACCTGTGTGTTTTATTTATAATCCATTTTGGATTAATTCCAGTGCATGTTTTAAGAAATAGATCCAGGTTATATTTATTATGTGACTATCCAGTTTTCCTTATACATCTTATTTTACATGCAGTGAAATTATTTCCTCCACTGATTTGAGATTCCATTTTTATACAATGTAATAATAAATGCTATCAGGTTAATTTCTTTTTCCTATTTTGTTCTATTGCTCCACTTTGTTCACATGGCAATACCACCCTAATTTACTTATATTGGTCTTGTATTTATTTTAATGTCTGGTAGAACTAGCTATATTCATTATTCTTTCAGGGTGTGCCTGGCTTGTGTGTTTTTCCCCCCAAAAATCATAAAACTCTCAAGCTATGAAAGTAAAAAACCTGCGATAGAAAAAAATTATTAAATAACTTAGGGAGAAATAACATTTATAAGATGCTGCATCTTTTAATCCAAGAACATATGTCATTCCATTTGTTAATGTCTATATGTGTGCTTTTGTGGAGTGTTTTATTATTTTCCTCACATAAGTTTTAGAGATTTCCTGCTACATTTATACCTAGGCATTTAACTTTCTCTTTGGCTACCTTAAATGGGCTCATTTCTTTCATTATATCTTCTAAATGGTTTTTGTTTGTATATATAAAAGTTATCAGTTTTGTGGATTAATTTTATAACAGGCTCCATGATAAAATCTTTTATTTAATTTTTGCAATTTTGTAAGGTTTTCAGATATATAATCATATCATCTCCAAATAAATATAATTTTCCTTTTCATTTTCATTTTTTAAATTCTATTTATTGATTTTAGAGAGAGAGGGAGGCAAGAGAGAGAGAGCAAGATAGATTTTTGTTCCACCTATCTATCTATCTATCCATTCATTGCTTCTTGTATGTGCTTTGATCAGAGATGAAACCCAAAACACGTATTGGGACAATGCTCTAACCAACTGAGCTATCTGGCCAGGGCACATTTTTATATTCAATTTTTGTGTCTCTATTTGATTTCTAATCTAATTACATTCATTAATAATTCCAGTATAATGGAAAGTAGTACTGGACATGGTCTGAATCATTATCATATTTCTGACTTTAAAAGAAAAGCCTGTAGTGTTTTCTGAGTTTAGAGAACAAATGAGAAAAAAAATTATCATTCATATCATTTATATATTTACATTTCCATTGCTCTTCATTTCTTCCTATGAATTCAATTTGCCATTTTGGATCATTTCTTTTTACCCAGAAGTGTGTATTAATTCATTTAGTGTATACTGTAAGGTAGTCCTGCTATCAGTGAATTCTCTCAGGAATTGTTTACCTGGGAATGATTTTATTTCCCCTTTAGTTTTGAAGTATTGTTTTGCTGGATATAAAATTCTTGATTGACAGTTTTTTCCTTCCAGCAATTGGAATATGAGTCCACTTCATTCTGTACTCTATTGTTTGGGTAAGAAGTCAACTATCAATTTATTGATACTCCCTTGTATGTGATGGGTCATTTTTGTTTGTTTGTTGCCACTTTCAAGATTCATCTTTGTCTTCGACTTTCAAAATCTTGACTATAGTATGTCTGGATCTTTTTGCATATATCCTACTCAATATCTGATGAAGCTTTTCAACATGTAAATGAAGGTTTTACATCAGATTTGGAAAGTTTTGTCATTTTTTTCCTCAAATATTTTTCTACTCTTTCTTTTTCCTATCTTGTGAATATATATTCATATATATGTGGTGTGGGCCTCTTTGGGTTCATTTTATATATATATATATAAATAATGTTTGCTACTATATATAATAATGTATATTATATAAATAACATATAAAAATAATGTTTATATACATATATAAACACACATATATACATATAAAATATACATATTTTATATATACAAATAATGTATATAAAATGTTTGCTGTTGTCCCATAGGTCTCTAAGACTTGTTCTTTTTTTTAAAAATCTTATTTTCACTCTGTTCTTCAGACTGATTTATTTCCATTAATTTTTTTATATACCATGATTCTTTTTTCTACCATCTCAAATATACTGTAAGCTACTTCAGTGAATTTTTAATTTCAGTTATTGTATTCTCCAACTCCAAAATTTCCATTCAGACTTTTTGTAATTTTTATCTCCTTATTAAAATGTGCTATTTGTTGATTCATTATCATAATTTCATTTAATTTTTAAAATACCACAGTAACATTAGAAAACAATGTCTAATTTGTCTCTATAATCTCAACATTTTTCATGTTCTTTCCCTTTTCTGTATAAACACTTCAGAGAAACAGAATTTGACTGACTTAACTACATTAAAGTTATTGTTAATCTACTAAAGATGTGTAGTGTCACAGGGGAGTAAATTTTCTAAGGACTAGGCCAGTTTCATCTTTTGTTTATTTTTTATAGAGAACCCCACCTAGAAAAAGAATTAGGTAGATGGCCCAGTGGAAGGAACTCCATTAGTTGAATTGCTTATTTTATCTTCTCTAGGATATAAATATGGTGGGAACATCTTCATAAAACTGGTTCATCCCCCAAGCTTAGCCAAGATCTTGAGGGAATCAACAACAATGGGAAGTATAAATGTTACTTATTGTTCAGAATAAAATCTTTTTTCATCATAACCAAATTGACTTAATACCTATGCTGTGGCAATGTGACATTGTGATATTCTGAAATTGACCTGTTTTTATTTCATGTGACACCAGTCTTTGTATGAAATTTCTAGAACTAGACCAACTGCTTAACACTCTCTGGACCACGAGTACCTGTATCAGAAAAGATAAAGTCCATCAACTTCAAAGGAAACAAAACAATATGACAATTCGTAATTGGAGTTACCCTAACATATCTGTATCCAGGGACCAAGAGTCAGATTATGGTCCAGTTTCCTGGGATCAGGTATTGTCATTATTCCTCTTCTACCACTATTTGCTATGTTGAAGTCTAGCTGTGAAAGTTCTCTAAGAGTTGTAGAAAACTTAAAGAATGATGTGTGTTTTCCTTAAATGTAAAAATATTTTATGTTCACAGTGGTCATTTTTTTCCTTCTATAATTGGATCTCTATAAATATAAACATGAGACTAAGATATTTAGAAGAATGCTATATATTACTCTTTCCTCCCTTGGGTCTATACTGAATGCATGAATAATTACTTCACTGTACATATATTAAGCCTTTACTATGTGCCAGTCACTATTTTGGGCATTAGGGTTATGGTGTTGATCGGAAATACCCACAGCTCCTATGGAGCTCACAGAGTAGTGGGAGGATATAGACATTGCCTAAACACTCACAATGATGAATGAATACTTTAGCTTAGATTAGATTATGAAAAGGGATTACTTTGGGCTGTGAGCAACAGAGAAATATCTGTATAGTAGGTAGCACTGAAATGGTTTTTGAGAAAAGGTGACATAAGGTTGTAAAGATATCCATATTTATTAAAGATGTATTCCAAAATATGTTCAATAGTATACTTTGGTGCTTCTTGAAAATGGGTGCTATGGTCAAATCAGTTTGGGAGACACTGAGGATACACATTGCACTGTCTTGATAGGCCCTTTAGCAGATAAACTTCTTTATTCTTATTGAATCTAACATTTCTCAAATTTTGACCATAGAATCCTTCCCTGCCCCAATCATTTAAAATTGTAAGAAATTGATATTCTATGATGATAGCTTACATATATTGAATACTTACTATGTATCAGCTCTGTGCTATTTCACCTGCATTGCCTCATTAATCATTACAACTGTATGAGTTTAGTTTATATTTTTCCTCTTACAGGTGATGAAATGGAGACATAGAGCTAATAAATAATTGCTTAAGTTCACAAAAACTGAGAGTATATTGCCTGCTAGCATATTCAGTGCCCTTAACAACCATGCTTTTGTTTCAGAAATGTTGATTTAAATTAATAAGAACTACTTCTGTTATTTGTATCTTAGACGAGCAATATTAGTACTGAGCACAATCTATATCTTAAATGAACAAAATTCCTCACATGTTCCCAACACTGCTAGGTGCTGTTCCCATCAGTTACGGATATACAATTGGACAGTGTTACATATTTTTATTGTTATATACTTTTAAAATGAATTTCTGTTACTGCTTTGCTTTTCTGTTAAAAGGTATCTATTTAAATTGATTCTTTCAGTGCTTGTTATGTTCAACTGAAGGTGACAAAAGTTGCCTATATTAATCCTTGTTTGTGAAGTCTCTTTAAAAGCTTCTTCAGGGCCAAGGTTATTTTTTTAAATTTAGGGATTGCTTACTTAAGCCATGCATCTTCTATAAACAGTAATAATTATTTTCTGTGCTGACTATGCAAAATAAACAAAACAACCTCTTCTTCAACTCTTCTCTGCACCAACGTATCATTTTCCTTGTGACTGTTGGTGAGACCCAAAGATAACAGACTAGATCTGAAGATTCTTCCTATATTATTTAGACCAGTGGTTCTCAAAGTGTTGTCCCTGCACCAGCAACGTCAGTATCACGCAGCAACTCGTTAGAAATGCCAGTTCTCAGGCCCCACCCCAGGATCTGCTGAATTATAAACTCTGAGAGTAGAGCCCAGTACTCTGTCTTTTACTAAGCTGTCTAAGAGATTCTCAAAACTAAAGTTCAGGAATCACTGCTTCAGAATATGTTTGTAAAGTTACTCTAGAAGTCTAATGATATCAACACAGTATACATGTGTATTGAAGTTTTATGTGAGGGAATAAAGAAACTGTAAAGGTTATTGTTTGGGTAGTATAAATATTCTTTTTTATTAAAAACAGATTGTGTTTAAAATGTTATAGAATATAATGCATTGTATTAGTGATTTCAGAAAAAACATAAAACAATAACCTAAATATCACAGATAGAACAAATGAAGATCAAGGGCACAGAAGCTCATAATAGAATAATCTTACTCAACAAGAAGGTATTCTAAAACTAGAACTATTCAATTTCTTGACGATGAACTGGGGAAAAATACATGGCGTTATGTTTATGTTTATCTCTCCACTTGTTCACTTACCAGTCAGACATTTTCCAAGAAGAATGTTTATTAGGGAGGGTTCACCATCAAAAGTTTGTTGCTACTTTCTCTTATTGTTGTCAATATTTTTAATGATGAAATAATTTTATACCATTAGTAACACATGGCACAAAAGAGAATAGTCTTTGGTGATTTTTACTTTGATAAGGGAAAAAAAATCACAAGTTTAGTTTTCTGTTGCTGCTTTTTGTAGTAGATACCTTTGGACTTCTTGCCCAGTTTCTTGCTGAGAAATGCCTTGCTCACCCACAGGAGTGAGGCCAGTAGCCATGCTTAAGTGGCATGACCCCACCTCCTATCTTGTGGACAAAATTGACCCAGATGGATGTCTGACCCAAGAGCTCCCATCTGTGGCTTTGCTGAAGCCACTATACCTCTATTAGGACTCGCAGAATCAACTCAATCTTGCATTTGTGGACTGAAAGTTCACTACAGGGTTGGGTTTACATGTCCATGTGTTTTCTAAAAGAAAGAAGGACAGACTCTGAAAGGTAATAGATATATGCAGAGGAGAACAGAAAAGAGAAGATGGTAGGCCTCGAAAAGACAAGCCTTTTAAATCACTGGTTTAAAAAACATAGCTTATTGATTGTAACTAAAGATCACAAAGACATTATACTGAGGTCTTACTTCAATAGAAGACATACATCTGTGTCAGTGGGACTATGTACCATTCTCATCCACACATTAGAACTTTTTAATGTAATTTTTGATAGACAAAATCAGCCCTTAGCACTTCTAAGATGGACAAATGCTTCTTGGCAATTTTTAGAGACCTGCTACATTTACTGTTGATTTATAATCCTTCTCTTACAAATATGTCTACATAATATAAAAAATTGCAAAGACTTAGGTAAATATCAATAGGCAAAAGCAATTATTTCAATTGCTTTTGTAGAGAAGAGTTGTCAATTGGCAAGTGCTGAGTCAACTAGCTGGTATGTAAATGCTAAATGATAAGGCCTCATGTGTCCATGTTAATATTTGAATGGCAATTGGTGGTGAGCTTGTGTGTTGAGGTAAGTAACAATGTGCATTTTCCCATACAGACTTGCTTCTCTGCTCGGCAACTGGTGGAGATATTTCTACAGAACAGCCTTTCACCTATTTCTAAGGAGGACTTTAAGCACATGAGTCCAGGGATCATCCAACAATTGCTCAGCTGCTCTTGCCAGCTGCCCAAGGACCAACAAGCAAACCTGCTGCCCACCACTCTGGAGAGTAAGTTCTGATTTTTCCCTCAAAAAGTGGATGCACCTAATGTATGTAAAAATAACAGGGTACTTGCTATAAACCGGACACTGTTCTAAGCAACTTACACTTAACAACTCATTTCATTGAGGAAACTAAGGCACATAAGAGGTTAAGTGACTTGCCCAAAAGGATATACCTCTGGTAAGTGATGGAATTGGGATGCAAACCTAGGCAAGCTGGGCCCAGAGTCACTATTTTTAGCCACTGTACTATGCTAGCTTTCAATTACTATTTATATTTTGTATACAATCTGTGAGTATATACATTGATTTTGTCTCCCTTATGGGACTCAGTTGCAGACCAACTTAAAAGTGCACAGTTGAGAAGTGGCATGGTATAAGAAAAAGAACATATGCAATGTTGGAATCAGAAGTTGAATACTGGCTTCCATCCCCAGCCAACTGTGATCTTCAGTAATCTCTTTATTTCCCTGATCCCATTTCTTATTCTGCATAGTGGAAAAGCAGCGATGTCCTTACAGGGCTTCCCATTCTTTCACGCATCATGATGCAGGTTAAAAAAAAAAAAAAAGAAAGCATGTTGGGGTAAACCAAAGAGACTACTCTAGAATGGTGGTGACCAGCACAGGCAGGTACCAGCCGGCCTGCCAGACCTGCCTGGCACCCCTGGCAGTGCACTCACCTGTATCCCATTGGATCAGTGCGGTAGGTGAGCTCTGCTGTAAGGTATACGAAGGTGCCCGTAAGGTTCAAATGGGATAATGTGTACAAAACGGTTTCATAATTTAAAGCACTGTTAAGTCTTTAAAAGAAAAAAAGATTCCATAAGAACATTCCTGATGGATAGAAAAATTTGACAGTTAACACATGCAATCTTTAAAATATTACCATTGATCTAAGGGACACACACACACACACACACACACACACTAGTTTTTCAGAGGTACCTTTCCTTTTCTTTGAGATAGTCTGCAGTGTCCATAATAGTCGAATTGTTTGGTTACTCTCTTTAACTCACAGTGGATTCTGCAGCATCAAGAGACTCAATTTGAAGATTTTTAGGTGAACAAAAACATGCCAGGCTGAAATATCTATAATTCCACATTTACTGAAAAGAAGAAGGCTCTATTAAAAGTGAGCAGCTAAATAATTCAGCACCTGGTGGTCAGTGATGACTCACAGATGGATGAGGCAGACAGACCATGGCATCTAGGAGCTTCCACGAACATGCTTGCATTCCTACCACGTGGCACAGTGTCTGGTACATACAGGCCACTGGGGAATGGGTTTATGGACTGAAGATCCGTGAAAAAGTGTTTATCTTTCTAATGACCTTCCAGACCCTTCTGTGGAATAGTCTCCGCAAGAAAAATTCAAACAATTCACACTCACTAAAGGACCCAGAAATACATTACTGTCTTCAGCTTAAAATGTTGCATTATGTACTAGAAGAAAAGGCTTGCATTGGCCTTGTAATGGAAATATAAGATGAAGGGAGGAGGACACAGGGAGATGCTATAAGGAAACATTGTTCAGTGTGGTGAAACCCAATCTCTAAGCATAACCCTCGATTCAGTTTCCAGGAAAAAGCATTATGACATGTATAAATCAAGTTTCGGACCCAAGCAAAGTAGCTGCTCAAGAGTGGCTGAGACTTTAATTATTATGTTAAGTGCTATTATGAGAAAGATTTACATAGAACCTGTCTGCAAATCACCTGATTCCAATCAAGATTCCATAAATTAGTTAGTAGAGTTTGATAGCTACAAAACTCAGAGATTTTATAGTTTTCAGTCTGTCCTTGCCATACAGGAGCAGGGGAAACCTGACTCACAGAGGACCTAAAACTGTCTATAAACTCCAAATTAGGAAATGTTCATTCTCCTCTAACCCCACCCTTGTAGCTGCTCGAAGGGGAGAAGAGAAGAATCGCAGAACTTGAAACTGCCTTTTGCCTTGGAAATGTCAGACTCTAATTTGTTCTTGTACACTCTTGACATTTTATGATCTTTTGTAGCTTCCCTAAAAATGTGGCAACTTTAAACTTTATTAGGCACCCAGGTGCTCATGTTAAATTTCAAATGTCTTTATGTATTACATGAGAAGAATGACATTCCCACAGAGAATCTATTTTTGGAAGAATGGGAAACGAAACTTGGTTAAACAGCTCTATGGATTAAAAAAAAAATAACATAGGCATTTTTACTAAATTAGAACAGGATAAAACTTCCAGGCAGGTGTATGACCATAGCAGACCATTTCATTATTTTTTAAACTTTAATTGTGGTTAAAAAAAAACATGGATTTTATAAAAATAATTATTCTCTTTTTAGTATATTTTATTAATTATGTTATTATGGTTGTCCCAATATTTTTCCCTTCGCTGCCCTCTACCCAGTATCCCTGTTCCCTCCAGCAATTCCCCCGCCCTTAGTTCATGTCCGTGGGTCCTGCATGTAAGTTATTTGGCTTCTTCATTTCCTATACTATTCTTTTTTTTTAAATTTTTTATTTTTAAATCGTGATTATTACAGTTGTCTCAGTTTTCCCCCCTCCTATACTATTCTTAACATCCCCCTGTATACTTTGTACCTACCAATTATGCTTCTTAACCCCTGTACCTTTTCCTCTACTCTCCTCCTTCCCTTACCCTACTGATAACCCTCCATTAGATCTCCATAACTATGCTTCTATTCCTGTTCTAGTTGTTTGCTTAGTTTGTTTTCATTTTTGTTTTTTAGATTCAGTTGTTGATAGTTGTGAGTTTCTTGTCACTTTACTGTTCATAGTTTTGATCTTCTTCTTTTTCTTAAACAAGTCCCTTTAACATTTCATGTAATAAAAACTTGTGATGATGAACTCCTTTAGCTTTACCTTCTCTGGGAAGCACTTTATTTGTCCTTCAATTCTAAATGATAGCTTTACTGACTAGAATAATCTAGGTTGTAGGTCCTTGCTTTTCATTGTAATTGCTTTTGTATTAATCGTATTTTTCACACTGAACTAAAACCTGGAGGAGAGCTGGCTGAGATATATTTGAAACCCCTAGACTCAGCATAAAATTATTAGTGGCAATATGTATTTAATGCTTAAAGTACTCTAGAAACACTCAGTTCTTCACACTTCTATTTCTTTTAGCAGGTAAATGGTTTGTTTGCTACTTACATCTTTTGTCCTTATCTGCATGGTGAACTCCTTCTTTCTTTAAAATTCAGAGTGTGTCCTCTTTAATAGTACGTCTTATCTGAACTTGTTCGCTTAATGAAATTAATCATGCCCCTCTTCATCTTACTTTATATCTCACACATATATTCATTGCGACATTGACTTTGAATACTTCTTGCTAGTCCCTTCTTGCCTGCAAAGTTTCTTTTGAGAAATCAGCTGATAGTCTTATGGGAACTCCTTTGTAAGTAACTCTCTGCTTTTCTCTTGTTTTGGTCCTCTTTGGCTCCAACTTTCTTGGGACTCTCTGTGCTTCCTAAACTTGTATGCGTATTTCCTTTGCCAAATTGGGAAGTTTTCTTTCATCACTTTTTCAAATAAGTTTTCAATTTCTTGCTCTCCTTTTCTTCTTCTGGCATCCCTATGATTCAGATGTTGGCACTTTTGGAGATGTCCCAGAGTCTTATAATCTCCTAATTTTTTAAAATTCTTGTTTCTTCATTCTGTACTGGTTGACTGTTTATTTCTTCCTTATGTTGCAAATCATTGATTGGAACCCTAGCTTCCTTTCCTTCACTGTTGGTTCCCTGTGGATTTTTCTTTATTTCACTTAATGTAGCCTTCGTTTCTTCCCTTAAATATTTGCCATACTCGGTGAGTTCTCTGAGCATCTTTATCATCAGTGTTTTGAACTCTGCATCTGATAGGTTAGCTATCTCCATTTCACTCAGTTCTTTTTCTGGAGTTTTGATCTGTCCTTTCATTTGGGCCATATTTCTTTGTCTTCTCAATTTGGAAGCCTCCCTGTATTTGTTTCTGTGTGTTAGGTAGAGCTGCTTTGACTCCCTGTCTTGATGCACTTATTACATTGTAAGGGGTGGAATGTTAGGTATTTTCCGGGGCAGGGCAACCTGCTTCTCTGCTTTGTGGTGCTGTATGTGGAAGAGGGGTCAGAGAGGGAACAATGCCACTTGCTCGGCCCTTGCCTTGTTTCTAGGCATTTCACCCACTTCCTATATGTGACTCGTGCCCATCTAGGTGTTGTTCTGTTGGTAGTTCCCAAAGTGGGTGCATTTGCCTATGTACTAGGACCGTGGGAGCCCTTTAAATGGTCTCTCCTAAGAGACCATCAGTTTCTTCCACTGCCCCAGCCCCCACTGATTTTTAGAGCCAGAAGTTATGAGGCCTTATTTTCTAAGGGCTAGAACACTGGGCTGCTCGGTCTGGCTTGGAGCTGGGAATTATCGCTCCCCAGGTGTCCCTCCTGGTTTTTACCCATGACACATGAATGTGGGACTGCCTGTTCCACCAGCTGCCACATTGCGTCCTCTTTGTCCCGGCTCCCCATCTCTGCACCTCTTACCCATCTGGATGAATATTTCTTCTTTAATTCCTTAGTTCCATACAGTTCAATTTTCTGGAAGTTCTGGTTGTTTTTCATTTTGAGGTTAGTTGTGTTTTTTCTTACAGTTTTGTGAGGAAGTGAAGTGTCTCTACCTATGCCTCCATATTGGCTAAAATTCTAATCTTAATTATTCTTAAGTGTAGCATCTATAGTTCAGTGGTATTAAGTATTTTTACATTGTTGTGCAACAGATTTTTAGAACTTTTTCATCTCACAAAACTGAAACTCTATATCCACTGAATAACAAATAGTGGGTTCCTGGCAGGGAAAGAATAGTGATGAGAGTGGGAAAAGAAGAGTTTTGAAAGTTTTCTCTGAATGCACCACAAACTCTATTTTAACATTAGAGTCCTATATAATCTAGTACATATAATTCAGTAAAGGTCATCTTAACCCTGGCTTAGTAGCTCAGTTGGTTGGTATATCATATCAATACACCAAGGCTGCATGTACAAGAATCAGCCAGTGAATGCATAAATGAGTAGAACAACTAATTGATATTTATCTCTCTCTCTCATCAATAAATTTATAAAAATTAAAAAAAGGCTATCTTAAAATCAGAAGCCTATTACCATGTTGCTGTCTAGAATCATTAATGTGATCTAACGTAGAGAGTGAACATTCCAGAAAAGTACAAAAAATAATGAGAATAGACTATGTCCCATTTTAACTAACTTTAAGATTATAGTTTCTTAAAATCTACAATGGACTTTAAATAGTATGATAACTAGATTGTTTGATTTAATGTATTATTTATCTGTATGTAGTCACTCAGGGAAATGATAGTTTAATTTTGCAATTACTTTCCTTTATTGTTTATAAACCAGTTTTCCATGACTTGTTAGTAATTTCTAAATAAGTAGAAACAAGAGTATTTGCTCTGAATATCTGTAAACAGAAGGAAAATTGTGGCTTGAATAACTCTCCAAATCATTTGTATTTGACTCTGAAAGCCATGTTTTTCCTCTCTGTTAATCTTTCTTCCTATAATCTTTCCCACCTGTATTTTTTATCCCCTCATACATATTTGTTTTTGTTTGAATAATTTAAAGAACTGTAATTTCTGAATTTTTTAAATCTAGAAGCTAGGAACATAGAATAAATTTAAACATTATAAAATATTATTGCAGTAACTCAAAAGGTAGGCTGCCCAAATTTATTGTCAACTGTTACACATTCATTGATCAGTTTTTACCAACATATCACTTATTTCAGTCATTGAGAATAATAACGACTTTATTTATTTATTTATTGTCGTTCAATTACAGTTGCCCCACATTTTCCCCCGTTGCTTTCCCATGCCCCACCCACTTCCTTCCCCGACTCCCACAGTCAATCCCCACCCTATTATCCATGCCCATGGATCCTTTATTCATGTTCCTTAACTTGCCCCTTCCCCTCCTTTCTCCCCCCATTATCCGCTTCCCCCATCCCCTCCCCTCTGGTCACTGTCAATTTGTTCTTTATTTCCATGTCTCTGGTTCTATTTTGCTTGTTTGTTTTGTTGATTACGTTCCACTTACAGATGAAATCATATGGTATTTATCTTTCACTGCCTGGCTTATTTCACTAAGCATAATGCTCTCCAGTTCCATCCATGCTGTTGCAAAGGGTAGGAGCTCCTTCTTTCTGCTGTGTAGTATTCCATTGTGTAAATGTACCACAGTTTTTTGATCCATTCATTTACTGATGGGCATGAAGGCTGTTTCCAGCAGTTGGCTATTGTGAATAATGCTGCTATGAACATTGGGGTGCATTGGTTCTTTTGAACTGGTGTTTCAGGGTTCTTAAGGTATAATCCCAGCACTGGAATCGCTGGATCAAAAGGTAGCTCCATTTTCAGTTTTTTGAGAAAATTCCATAGTGTTTTCCACAATGGCTGCACCAGTCTGCATTCCCACCATTAATGTACCAAGGTTTCCTTTTCTCCTCAACCTCATGAACACTTGTTTATTGATTTTTTAATGATGGCCATTCTCACTGGTGTGAGGTGATGTTTCATTGTGGTTTTAATTTGCATCTCTCTGATGTCTAGTGATGTTGAGCATTTTTTCATGTGTCTATGGGATCTGTATGTCCTCCTTGGAGAAGTGTCTGTCCATGTCCTTTGCCCATTTTTTTAATTGGACTCTTTGTCTTCCTGGAGTGGAGTCCTGTGAGTTCTTTATATATTTCGGAGATTAAATTATTGTCCAAGGTATCATTGGCAAATATGTCTTCCCATATGGTTGGTTCTCTTCTCATTTTGTTGATGTTTTCTTTAGCCATGCAGAAGCTTTTTAATTTGATGTATTCGCATTTGTTGATTCTTTTCTATACACCCCTTGCTCTAGAGGAGGTATTGGTGAAATTATTGCTGCATGGGATATCTGAAATTTTCTAGCCTATCTTTTTCCTCTAGGACTTTCATGTTTCGTGTCTTATATTTAAGTCTTTTATCCATCTTGAGTTTATTTTTGTGTATGGTGTAAGTTGGTAGTCTAGTTTCATTTTGTTTGCATGTACCAGTCTAGGTCTCTCAACACCATTTATTGAAGAGGCTCTTTTTACTTTATTTTATGCTCCTGTCCCCTTGGTTAAATATTCATTGACCATAGAGATCTGGATTTATTTCCAGGCTCCCTATTCTGTTCCATTGGTCTATGTGTCTGTTCTTATGCCAGTACCAGACAGTTTTGATTACAGTGGCCTTGTAGTATAGTTTGATATCAGGTATTGTGATCCCTCCTACTTTGTCAACTTTCTCAAAATTGCTGAGACCCTATTCAGGGTCGTTTATGGTTCCATATAAATTTTTGAAATATTTGTTCTATATCTGTGAAATATGTCATTGTTATTTTCATAGGGATTGCATTGAATCTATAGATTGCTTTGGGTAGTATGGACATTTTAATTCTTCCAATCCATGAACATGGTATATGCTTCCACTTATTTGTGTCTTCCTTAATTTCTTTCCTCAGTGGACAATAAAAAACACTTTTAACATTACAAATAATTTTAAGAACTTTTAGAAGAAAATACTCATTTTGTACACAAACATAGGTCTACATGGGCCTAAACTGGATGCTTCCATTATAGCATTACTGCTTCGCCTTCAAAAGGTTTAAATGTGATTAGATGGAAATCATTACCAGTATCTGTCCACAGAAGTGGTAATTGAAAGTCGGAGAAATTAATTTCTTGCAGGTGGGAGGTAAGCTAAGTCATTGCTTGCCACAACAATTTTTTAATGAGAAGTCATTGGGATAATTTTAAAGATTTTTTTTGGTAAACATCTTTCCGTTCTTCTCTTAAAAATTAAAACATTTTCCCCAATAGAACACATAAAACAACTTCACATCTCTACCAGCTGTACTGTAAGATGGATTCTTCCATCAGTTTCACTAACTGAGGACCTCACAGAGGATGAGGGGTACTTACTATTTTCGCCATCTCCTTCCAACTTAGAATATGGCTACAGCACAGTGGCTGTGGCGCTGCTCACGCTGGGCTCCATGCTTGGGACCACACTGCTCCTGTTCCACAGCTGTGAGGAGAGCTACAGGCTCATTTTACAGCTGTTTGTGGGCCTGGCTGTTGGGACACTCTCTGGGGATGCTCTGCTCCACCTTATCCCTCAGGTAAGTGGCTTTTTTCCCCCCATTTAGATGGAGTGTTTCCAGTTTCTCTTTATGTTTAGCCATTGGAGGTATTTATGCAAAGTTTCACAGCAACTTAGGTGGCTAGATACAGTGGCCAATGTTTTCCTTGGAAATGAATATTATTTCCCCAGAGCACTTGTAGGAGAAAAGAGATGACCAGTTGTTATATTCACCACATGTTATTCTTATTTTTGAAATTAAAAAAAAAAAAAGGTGATCTGATATAGATCCCTATTAAGAAAAATTCAGTCAGCATTTATTACCTGGAAATAAAAACGAATAGGTTATAAGATGTGGCCCTGGTTTTTCTCCAGTGCTCCCGAAACTCACCCATTCCATTCTCTGCCCTTCTCTGCTGTCTTCTGTGGCCTGGAGAGTTGCAGGTCCGCAGCCCCCCTGCAGCCCTGATGGCTGGGGTCAGCCAGCGCGAGGCACAACAGGGGGCAGGGCAGGAGGAGAGAGTGGCAGGGTCATTTCTTCCGGTCCCCTCCTGGCTCTGGTACTTGCTCTAGAACAACGATTGTCAACTGGTCTTCCACAAGAATTTTTAGAACACGCAACGCCTGACTACTTAATCAGGAGCACTGACCTCTTTTCCCTTAGGCTGTCAAATTACACATTTCAACAGCCGCTAAAATAGTTGTCTGGTGTGAATGAATAAAAATTTGCCTATTTTTTTGACAGATTAGCAAAAAAATATAATTTCTGGTGTGCTGTAGAATTTTAATAATGAGTTTACGTGTGCCTTGAGATGAAAAAGGCGGACAATCGCTGCTCTCGAAGCAGTTCATTACCTGCAGACCTACAGTTCCTATGGAGGCCTCCTCTCCAGCTCCCCTGCCCACTGAGCTTCAGTAACATTATTTCTAACCTTGGCCTTTTCAGCCCTGAGTCCTAACGGTTTCCTGACGTGGTTAGTTTCTGGGTGTCTCATTATCCTGTGTTCACACCTTTGACTTTGCCTGTACCTCTGTAATAGTGCCATCATTAACCCCTCTTCGATTGAACGATCTTGCCTAACTAAGAATATCTACGTTCCCCTTAAGAAAAATGTAAGTACCAGGAAGTTGGCTTTTATTGAAGTATTTTGAGGCTCTTTGTTTGTCAGAAATGAAAGGACTAGGATCTAAGATGCAAAAGGATTCAGGCAGAAGGATCTTCAGCTGAGGGTGTCTGTTTCCTCTAAAATCTCTTGAGATGGACAAACGATCCATCCTCTCACAAGGTCTGAGATGTTAAAATTTTCCACACACCTCTGGGAATTTCCTACAGGGTCACTCTTGTTGCTTAGAGGCTCAGTGATTATTAGATGTTCTGAAAATTGCGAAGTGAGCATCGGAGAAATGAAACAAACCATTATTAGTTTTAATTTCCCCTGTAATCTAATTTTCTGGAAATATTTCAAGGCTTATTGGCTTGAGGCGGTGGCTGAGGCCTTTTCTAGGTCACTGCAGTGACTGCAGAGCTGCTCACTCCCAGGATCCCGGGAAAGAGCGAAAGAACTTAAGGCTCCCTGGGTCTCCCCAGATCGGGGGTGGTATAGCTCCGGGCAGCAGGTGTGGATTTGGGATGGGTGGGACTGTCAAATGACTTTGCAGAGATAAGTCACGGAGGGGAACTTAAAAGCTTGGCTAGGTTTCATGAAATTTGGAAGGCAGTTGTTTTACTTGAGGAGAGAAGTGAGGACGAAAATTATTGGGAAGAGGAAGATGTGATACAAGGGAGGTGGAAAGCTAGAAAAATTGGTGGTTCTGATACATGACAAGTGTTCCAAGTGTTGCAGAGAAATAAGAAAAAAATGCCACTGTCATTTCCTTTTTTAACTAGCTAAATTTATTCAACTTAAAGGTCTATATTTTGTTATGAGATTGTGGGTTTTTCCCTGTTTTGTGATGTTCAATGTTCTCTGTATTGTGAAATAATGGTAATTACTAATATTAGATGGGTTTCCTTTAATGTCTTTACCAAAAGAAAAAGTTGACTAACATATGTTGGTTTTTAGTTATGTCCATAAAATCAGTGTTTATACTCACTCATGTACTTGTGTGTAAACATATGTACACATATCATTTCTTTTTACTCTTGTTAATGGTCAGTAACATCCTAAATGTGGAAACCACAGAGCTATTCCTTAAACTGCCTTCTCTGGAGAAGGAATATGATACGTGATTTATTAGCTCACAAGAAATCATGAAGTCAACCAACAGAATGAATCAACCAAAGGGATGAGTCAACTAGAGAAGAATTCCTAATGCTCGTATCTTCTTCTGTCCCAGGTTGCTGAATATATTGCTAAGCATACAGTATTCACTCAGTGGAAAATGTCTTTATAGCAGATTTCTTACTTCTCTGAAAAAGAAGTATTTATTAAAAGTATTTTTTAATTGCAGTGGGGCATGGGGAGAATAAAGCCCAGAAGAAATATATCTTTCTATTTGTTCTGGATATAGAATACATTGGCTTGCTATAAGGCACTATTATGCAAACAGATACTTTTGAACTCCGCAAAAAATTCAGCTAAAGGCCTGAGAATGTATGAAAATTTAAGCCACTTGCTCAAATAGGCTTAGGCTTTATTCTGTTCATAAGCAGACACCATCTTCTTTCCTCTTGTACACATTTTATTTGACTGTAATTAAATCCTACGGTGGAAGTATTTATACATCGAAAAACAAACTGGGCTTTGAATGATTTCAGGAGCTGTCATAGAGCTGAGTATATTCAATACTGGACCTACTAATTAATATTTAAGTCATCCAAAGTTATTTCTTTATGTCTCTTTCTCTCATCTTTTATTTTTTAGGTCCTTGGTTTACATAAGCAGGAAGCCTCAGAGTCTGGACATGTCCATGATAACAAAAGTCACGTTTGGAAACTGTTGGGACTAATTGGAGGCATCCATGGGTTTTTCTTGATAGAAAAATGTTTTATCCTTTTTGTGTCATCAAGTGTTGAGGTATATTTTAAATTTTATTTATCCTTTGTATTAGGGCTTCATAATATTCATCTTTTATTGCAAAAGTACATGTTCAAAAGTAATCGACATCTTCATGAAGTTCTCTATGTAAGGGATGAGGCCCTGATTTCCAGAACACACAGGTCATTCTGACTGGCAGCTTCCCTGTAAGTCTGGTTATTAATCTTTTAAACATCTGTTGCTGGCTTGGTGATGTACTTATTACAATCTGCTGTTTGACCTTCATGGCTAGTTTAGAAACAGCAGACTATTTCATGTCTGATATTGAAGAGGCCCAGAGGCCTAGCTATCAGTCTGTGTTTTGAATGTATTTCCTCACCAAAAACAAACAAGCAAACAAAATTTTGAAAATTCACAAAATTATCCATTATGTCCCAACTTGAGGGCATTTAAAAATATAAAAACAAAAAGTTCAGATGTGATATTTGTGATGTGTGTGTGTGTGTGTGTGTGTGTGTGTGTGTGTATTAACTTGAATCATTGCTTTATTTGGGCCTGTATTTGATCAGTTCCTATGTAGATGATGAAATGTAAAAATAAAACAGTTGAACTGTTTGGTGGGATGGTTAAAAAGGCAAATACTATGAAAGACTCAATAAAGCAATTATTCTTTGCACAGTCCTGAGGCTCCATAGTCTTCTTTGGTTTTTTACTTATTTTTGACTGTGCTCAGGTCAAACTAGTGGTCTTTTAAAATGTCAGGACTTCTTTATTATCATTCCTAATTTTCTTCAAAAGTTCTATTTTATGCATCAAAAATAGATGATTTTGTGGATGGGTGGAGAGCCACTAGAAGGCTAGATGTGTGATAATAATAGATACAGCGAAATGTCACTGGTAGGACCAGGAAATGGATATCTGAGTGTTCACATTACAGTTCGTTCAACTTTTCTGTATATTTGAAAATTTTCATAATAAATAGATTTGAAAGAAAATCCTATAAAATAATTTCAGTTTTAATGAAGCAGGATTGTTTTTTGGCCTAGGGGCCAAATTAGGATGCTATAGTAATTCAAAATTGAAAATTCGAGCTTTAATCACATCACCTACTATAGAAGTTTAGGGCATTAATCTCCAGAAAAGGGATTCTTATCTTAAGGAGGATGAAAAAACAATAATAGATCACCATTTATACACAATAGATAAGCATCCCTGGACTGAAAAAACTAAATTAAAAAGCCAACATGTCAACCTATGTGTAATCATGAGAAATTTAACCAGGATGGAAATGAGTAAAATAAATTTTGAATATCCAAAATGTAGAGTTTATTTAGATTGTCCTTGTATTTTTCAGGGAACTTAAATGCGTTTAAGAACATAATTTCAAGATTCATGATATTGAATAAAGTAAAAGGAATGTAGATATTTTAGAAGCTACAAGTGCTTTTAATTGATTGATACATTTCTGGAGGTTTTAATTTAGTAGTTTTAGGGTATAATACAGTTTCAGTTATAATCGTTTTGGTATCTCCATCAGAAAAAAAATCAAATTTAATTTTGTAGTAAATTAAAAAATACATTATAAAAACCACCACTGTTTGAGTCTTTTAAAATTCTTGAAGTTGCATTCTTAAAGCATTCTGAATATGCATGATGTTTCAGAGCAGTCCTTTGCTTCTCCAGGTGAGGTATTTCAGCAAGTATTTATCACAGTGAGATCCTCCCATCACTTTTTTTTTTTTTCTTTTTTTGCCACTCATCACTTTGGCCAATGAGCAAAATGTTAAATAGAACCATGGAATTGACAAAGGCTGCACTTCTGTTCTTCCCGCTTCAACACTAATTTTAAACCATCCTTATCCAGCAGGGCGTGTTGCTGGTTAATGGGCATGTGGGGCATTCCCACCACCCTGCACTCAATTCTGAGTTAAGTGACCAGTCAGGCAGAGGCCCATCTGCTTCAACTATCCAGTTGGTAGGTTACGATCTGAACTTTTCTGTTGTTTGATTACTTTCTTTCCTGTATTCCTTGATTAGATAAGAATCAGCAGGATAAATATAGAATCCACTCCTGACTCGCCTATATTCTTGACCATGATAAACAGTTTAGAAGACTTTGCCAAGCACCTAAAAGCTATTTTAAAATGTAAAAAGCATTTTCCATAGATTCAAATTATTGCAATCACTACCACTTTGAAACATATTTGGATTAAATTGACATACTGTACAGCTATTTAATCATTTTTTTTTACAAGTTTTCATGAACCAGTTGACCTTTGTTTAGTTTTCCATTGTGAGTAATTCTTAGCCATGGGTAGGTGGATACAAATAAGTTAAACAGGGACTTAGTGCATCTAGGAGTGAGGTGTTCATTTAACAATGCAGGAGAGAACTTGTTCTGCCCAATGAGATGACTCATTTTAAGTGCTTTTTGTTATATTGAATTTCCCATGACAAAATTGTCTGTATGGATTCTCAAAACACAATCTCCAGTCAGGTTCAAAACAATATTCCCATTCTAATTCTTAAAGTAACAAGTAAAGGGACAAGAAAAGTATGTAATAGATAGAAAACTTGCCTCCTATAAACATGACCTTAGGAAGGGGTTTACAGTTCAAGGATAGATTCCTAACAGTAGAAACAGGTAAGCTATTTCTGAGACATTAACACAGCAAGATAGAAGTCAGGCAATAAATTGCAGATCTACAGCTAATTCAAAAACATTTTGTTCAAAAGCAATTTTAAAATCTTTATTTTGTTTATTGCTTAGATACTTCACATGTGATTGGAAAGGAGATAACTTCAGGCTGAGATTAGCTTTAAAATCACTCTAATGCTGACTCTATTCTTTCTGTTTGATTGAAGGGTACAGAGCCCTAAGATGTGTGTAAGAAAATCTCTGATGCTAACTTTATGAGTTTGGGTTGCATTTGAATATGCTGGCTTACTAATAATATATTCACTATTCCTTTTGTTATTTAAGCTGCAAGATCAATTTAAGCAAATAGAAATGTGAACTTTAGGGATTGTTTGTTTCAATTATAGCTTGTTTAGGCAGCAGGGGGGTAGAACTCATAATTCTTTCCAATTGATAAGGAATTTTGGATGTTTGCCTCTAAATTCCTTTACAGAGTGTGATATTATACAGCTTTTGGGGGGAAAAGACCCCTGAATTACTCTCCTGTTGTTTAATGGAACTATAGAGACTTTTGATTATAATTATGCTTTTGATGTAGTATAAGAAAATCACATTGGGGTGGGGGGGGTCTCTAGATCCACCAATTTCAGGCAAGGGGGCTTCTCTAACCCTGTATTCTTCAGGTATTCTCAGCATCATTTTCCAAAACAATGTCTATCATTACATGGTTTGAATATCTGCTATTATTTAACATACAAACTCTAAGTTTACTTCCTGTTTTACATTGACAAAAAAGATGTTTATGTCTCAAATTAAATTTGTCTCATAGTCTCCACACCTTTGGATGATAGAATTATATACATGTGGTTTTAAAATAACATGTTTAAAAGGCAGATGAAAAGTATTCTTTTCACATAACAGAATAAGAACCTGAGGCATAGAGAGGGGAAGTGACTTTCCAGAAATTGAACTATGAGTCAGTCTCTGAAATAAAATCATGCCATCTTAACTTATAATATAGACGTCAATTTCAAAATCTTACTTCCCTCTCATATGAAAGGATGAGAAAACTTTAAAAATTGATTGTATTTTCTTTTCTAAGCCTGTTGATCTTCTTTCACTATTGGCAAGACTCTTTTACTGACTGGTAAAGCAACAAAATCAGAATACGAGGCCATGACGAATGAAATGATGTGTAATGTTGGCATGGGATATTTCTCCATCCACAGTACATGATCCACTAAGAGATCCGAAGATGGATTCTAGGTCCACAATCAGGAGAAGAGCCAAATTAGGTCAAGAATCAAGAATCTATTTTTTTCTACAACTTTTGGCTTTCTTAAAGGCATACATAATTTAGGAGTCTGAATTACAGATGGTCTCGGTAGCTCCTAGTGCTCCATGGAAGTCTGAGCTATGTGAGTGCTGTCTTCATTTAAATGCAGATGATGCCAAAAGCTTGCTTACAGACCCTCAGCCCTACCTTCTATGTTTGTCTTTAAAATTTAGAAGTTCTGACATACTGTAGAGTATTAAAATGTCTTTTAAAAATCAATATAACTCTTCAGATGTTTCATTTTTCAGCAAAAATGATGACCATTGCTTATCTTTTATCATTTTTTTTCAATTGAAAATAGAAAGGCCCAGAAGACTCTCAGCCAGCCCAAATTCCTATAGGCGGTATGACAGCCTCCAATAGAAAATGTGAGTACTAATTTAAAACAGCTAAACATAAAGTGTAGAAAGTTCCATAGAAAAAGGTTATGTCTGCTTTAAAATAAATGTCATAAATTTCATAATGGGTATGCATTTCATTATTAAAATCTTTCCAATAGAATTTTTAATAGACTTATTCTCATCAGTCTTTCAAACATACCACCCATTAATATCAACTTAACGCCATTCTTTAAAAATGCTGTTTTCCCTAATTGTTTAAAACTGATCTTCTAAAAATTTTGATTAGTGTAAAGACATATGTGCTTATCAGAACTCCTTTAAAACCATGCTTATATGATGTTTGAGCCTGTCACTTCCTGTGAAGTTTGAAGACATCATTGCTTTTTTTATCTTCTATCCCTGTCTACTAAACATTGATTGCAAATGTCTATCTCATTTGTCATATTGTCATTTAAGATGATGGAATTCAAATCTGTGGTACCTCATTATTCACATCTTATTCTACAACTCATTTATTTATATAATCTTCTTTTTTCTTTTTTAAAGAATTTCATTTTTTAAAGATTTTATTTATTTATTTTTAGAGAGGGGAAGGGAAGGAGAAAGAGAAGGAAACATCAATGTGCAGTTGCCTCTTGTGTGCCCTCTACTGGGGGACCTTGTCTGAAACCCACGCCTCTGTCCTAGACTGGGAATCAAACTGGCAACTTTTTTGTTCACAGGCCAGCACTCAGTCCACTGAGCCACACCAACCAGGGCTATGTATATAGTTTTCAACCAACCTTTTCTTTCTATGACTTTCTCTATTTCTGAATTTAACTTACCAGTTTTGGATAAGCATTCATTCATTCATTCATTCATTTATTTTGCTTCTACTTGGGAAAGTTCTTAGAGGGTTTTTTTCCCCCCCAGCTGTTTTGGTTTTCATGAGTTGCCCCTGAATCTTTTCCCCATTTTTCTCATTTATATTACCTTTTCGTGACACATGCTTCTCAGTGTTTTAATGTTAAGCAGCTATAATTAATTATTCCCATTCAACAAAAATATATTATTGCCCAATAATTAAAATAGCTCTCATTTACTGAACAGTTGTTATATACCAACCACAATGCTGAAAACTAGATATGAATTATCTCATTTAATCTTCCTACAGTTTAATAAAGTAAGAACAATTATTACCCAAGTTATACAAGTAAAGAAACCAGTTGTTAGATAGGATAAGTCACTACCTGAGATTACATAGTTGTTAAGCCCCAGCATTGAGGAACTAAGTAAAGGCTAATACAGCAATGATTTCTTTGTCATCATTCATTAATGTGTGCATCTAAGTGTGTTTCTCATATTCTTATCATTCAAGAAATGTTTGAAGACGTGCCTTGTTTCAGGCATTGATACATTAGAGAATAAAAATAAAAATGGTCTTCATCAATGTGGTATAAGAACCATGTTGTATAATAACAAACATGTTTGTACCGATCACCACTCTTAAATGTGTTGGATATATTAACTCCTGTAATTTATTTGATTCAAGGTATGTAATTACACAGTCTGTGCAGCCAATTCTGCATCACGACATTGACAGTGCAATTTTTTCCTTCTAAATCTTTAGTTCTGGGAGACATTTTAGTATGCCTGGCACTTAGTAGGCCTATAATATATACTTCTTTGTTTTTATTTTTGGAAGAAAGCAAGAGGCAAGAAGGAGCTGCTCAAATTAAGAGCAAGGAGCAGATGCTAGATCAGGGAGTAATGATGGTCTTACTCAAATATTTTGTAGGCCTCATATCTTTCCACTTCATATATCAAGGTTGGCATGCAGAAGGAATATTGAACAAACCCAAATTCAATTACTCAGCTGCCCTTTTGCCAGGCACATATTGAATTAGCTTCAGATATTTGATTACTTGTTTCATATTACCTCATTGGTGGAGTTCAGCTTGTGTTTCAAAAGACAGGATGCGAAAATCCTATCCACAGTATGATTTAAATAAACAAAAAGCAAAATGACATAAGGTCCAGCCCATGTTCCGCCATGGAAAATCTCTGGGAATTCAGAAATGTGGGACTCAGAATGATTGCCAGATACACAAGGAAAGGTAAATGCTAATGGTAATTCTGTAAGGAGTACATTAAATTACCAGTCAACACTTGTTTTACCTTCTGCTGAATAATTTTAAATTATTTTACACAAGATGCACAATGTGTTCCTTGTGGCTTACATGCAAAAATGTGTATTTGCCTTGTGGCTTTTTATATGTCCATGATATGACATTTAGAAACCCATAATCAAAGAAAATAAAATAACAAAATGAAAATAGGCCACACTTGTTTCTTAGCAGAATACAAATGGGTTAAAATTTTTCCACTTGAATATATGATATTAATATCAATACTACATGTGAACATGTGGAAATTATAACTTATTTGCATTCTGCAACATTGTCCAATATATCACTTTAAGTTATTTCATTTTATTATACTTTCACAAAGAAGAGCTTTATTTCTGAAAAGGGGCAGGAACAGCTGAGTGACCTGGTAGCATTATTAGATTCTGAAAGCTTCCAGGCAAAGCCAACAAGGACTCCCTGAATTCAATAATTTGATATGTAGTCTGTGTTTTTATGACTGTTGCCTGGAATCTTTTCATTTTTAATGAAAAATAAAATGAATTAGTAAACCACAAGAAGGATATAAGTCAGTCTCACAGCAACAGTTCTAAATTTTAGAAGCAAAATGATGAGAAATCTTTGAAACTCAGTCAAAACAGCTATCTCCTGGATGGTAGTCTGGGCAGTATCTTCTGTTCATTTGACTAAAGTTGTTTATTTCATGGTATAGGTTATGAAATGAGTCAAATTATACCCTCCATGTAAAACAGCAAACCATACCATAACAGAGCCACCCTGCGGTCTTAGCCACGTAACAGAAGCCAGGAGGCAACCTCTTCTTATTTTTACTGAGTGTACAATTTCAGTTCTAACAGTATCAACAGCTACTACTTAGACCTGTCACACAGTATAGAACCCGCTGAGTAATTAATGAAGTTTAAGACTATGGAAATTGATTTTAATGGCTTTTCTTATCAAATGGTATACTTAGGTTGTTTACTGTCAGAATAAGTATTATTTCTGAAATACCTTTCGTATTGTCATTCAGCTCCATAATTGGCTATACTAACATACAATCATAAGTTTTTGAAAACAGAAATTCTACATGTTAAAAACTTGACCCAGTTATGATCTAAATTATTTCATTAATTAAATCCATTATTGTCTCTTCACGAATCTGATCATGTATATTTTGTAATAGAACTTAGGAAAACAGCATCTCCTTTTTTGTTCAACATGTAGCTGGTCTAGTACTGAAGCTATTTGCAGAAAGATAAGAGCATTAAATAATTGTTCCAAAGCTAGCTTTGGGATCAGCAGAGTTGGAAGTGGTTCTGTCGAGGTCACAACTGGCAAGTGAATGAGGCACTATATCAGGGTGATCAGCAACAACCAGGCACACAGTAGCAGAGAGTGCGCTCCTGCAGGTTGGCAGTAGGGACAGCCTGACTCAGAGAGAACTGTTTTTTAAAACAGACTCCATTTTAATGCAGGGAGGATCTCAAATTGTCTTATAATGCTTTACAAAGCTCATTGCTGGTATTTTTGGAGGTTGTAACAATATTATTTTTATTTTCCCTTTTTTTTTTTTTTGGCACAGCTGGTCAAGGTGATAAAATAATGAATGTCATGCACAATTTATCTCATTATCAGTGAGATCCATTTAAAAAATAAAAAAAAAAACAGTGACAATACATCCCAGCATGTTGGTTACCATATTTGCCTCTCCAGTCCCTCTGACTTATTTTGAAAACCGAAACAAAATGGAGTTGCTGGATGCAACTTAAGACTGTAAAAGGTGGATGAGAAAGTTGGTCACGTTTAAAGGGTTCCATGAAATATTCAGTGCTCTGTTAATGCTTCTCACACGTTTATTTGATTTTTAGGCAAATCCATTAGCTCGTTAGCAGTAATGGCACTGGTCGGGGACAGCCTGCATAACTTCGCAGACGGCCTCGCGATAGGGGCGGCCTTCTCGTCTTCCTCTGAGTCTGGAGTAACCACGACAATTGCCATTTTGTGTCATGAAATCCCACATGAAATGGGTAAGTCTCACAGTTGCATCACTGTTTTCTGCTTCTTGAGAAAATAATAATTTCTAGTTATTGTTTCTTAGGCTTCCTTTTCTAAAATATGATAAGAAGATGGATTCTTTCATAGTTTATTTTAAAAAGCAGAAAAGAACTAGAAAACATGTCTTTACCTTGGGATAAAATATGGTTAGACTCGTATTTCCCAGGGCCAGAAGTGACTCTTTGTATTCTGGAGAATTCTTTATGGGAGAAAGTCATTGCAGAAACTTCCTTTTAAAGTACTTTGGGAAGAACTTTAAAATCTGCATAGTAAATGTGGGAAAAACATTAAGATGGGAATTTTACCCATTATGTTAGCAAACAGGTCAATGAGATAAAATAACATTTAAATTAAAGCCATACCATGGTTTCATCAACCAGATTTATGCAAGATATCTAAAGCCAACTGTAAAATTGATATGACAGGCATATGGTAGCAGATGCACATAAGACTCTTTATCTGGATAATCTTAATAGCCCTGTAATTCAAATCCTGCTTCCCAGAAATCAAGATGAGATAGAGTATACATTAATGAAACAGACCCAGAAACAGTAGAGGCTGGCCCCAGACACGCATGTCTCCTCGAGAGAGGGCTCTTGCTGTCACTCTTTCTCCTCTGTTTCAGACCTACATTGCCCTCATAGGCCAACCCGGTCCTTTGTATTTAGGGTCTATTATCAGAAGTGCTATTGCCAACTCATCCTTAACCCATCCCTCTTGAAGAAGTTTATCCAAAGTCCCTCCTGAGTCTATTGAAATGTGCCTGGCCTGAGTGCCCTATCCTATGGTCCTGCTTTAAGCTACTGTAGTAAAACCACAGGGTGTGACAGTCTGTGGCAGGCCAGCAAAGATGGGTTAAGACCTGTTCACAGACCAGTTATACAATGGAATTAGGAAACCCAATCCCAGGCTGTCTTTATTGAATTTCAGCCTCATCTCAATCCCCAAAACTAAGAAATGGAGTCTCTCAGATTAATAGGCCATTCTCTTCTTGGAGGGAAGAAGAGAATGTGATGTTTTCAAATCATTAAGGTTTGAAAACATTTCCTAAAGGAAAATTTTGTTTTCCTAGTCAACTTTGGCAATGATCTTAAAATCTCACATTAAGTAGTTTTCTCTTTTCCCTAAGCAGTTCCTATATAAGTAAATAATGAAAGCCCACATAACGTTTACTACCTTGTGATTTTGCTTGGAAAGTTTCCAGGCAAAAAGATTTAGAAATCCTGGGACAGGAAATGCTTTATTTTGCATTTATCTAAGCTGAAAATGCCACAGGACCACAGGACGTCAGAAACTAAAGAGTATGTCACAGTTCTCTGTGTACACTCTCTTCGGGAGCAGTAAAAGGAATAGAACTCTTGAAATGTAACTTCTTAATTACACAGTGACTTAGCTACGAATCCTAGAGAAATATAAGAAAGTGGTTTCTCATCTGATCATTCAGCTTAACTTATAAAATTGATCCCTGTTACTGATATTTGAAACAACCTAATAGCACACTACTCTACCAAAGCCATCATCGGTTAATTCATAATTATATTTTCTTTTTTCCTTAAATTTCAGGAGACTTTGCTGTGCTGCTAAACTCCGGACTTCCTATTAAAATTGCCATCCTGATGAATTTTGTAAGTGCTCTAACTGCCTTCCTAGGACTGTACATTGGCCTCTCAGTATCAACTGATCCTTGTGTTCAGAATTGGATCTTGACAGTCACTGCTGGCATGTTCTTATATTTATCCATGGTAGAAATGGTAAGCTTTGTGTCTTTTCCATTTTGTTCTCTTAAGCACTGAAAGTGTAATACAGAGAAAAAGCAATAAAATGGAAGGTTAGATATGGAAAAGAAAAGAACTGTATAGGTAACAGTATAACAGATTAGAGAAATATTCTGTGTAATCCAAGAAAGGAAGCTGTAGGCAGAAGAAACATAACTGGAGACACAGAAAATATTGACATTCTTTTAGTGAACTGAAGTGGAATGAATGAAACCTTTATAATAGTCAAAAGTGATCATCAGTTGATTCTGCTCTGGCTTTGTATATGACGCCTATACTTCTAGATGAAAAATTAAAAGTTTGGTTAAACAGCCAGCTATTTTGTGTATACATTGGAAACTTGTTCAACCGAATTTGTCAGTGTATTAAATAGCTTTTTGGCCTAATCAACTGTATTTTTAAAGATAATGATTTTATCTTTAAGTTGTAGTTGCCAGATGATTATCATGTGGTGAAATAAGAAAGACTGTTATAGTGTGCGGTCTTTAAAATGCAACCTATATTTCCTAAAGAGGTCCTTATTGACACCAACAGTAATTATCCGTTATCATGTCTCATCCTGTATAATCTTGTGAAAAAATTAAACCTGAGAAATTTAACATTTTTTTGCCTTCTAAATTCTGGTCTTCATCAGATGAACCAGTCTTTTTTAAGGTTATTCTCTATTAAACTTGTTTACAACTTAAATATCTTAAGGTGAAAGTCATAATGATAATTCCTTCTCATGAGTTGGAATAAGGTAAATAAAAATGATATAAATTATCAAAAGAAATATTTAATACTGAGAATCAATAGAAAACCAATTTGAGTGAAAGTAAAATAAATAAGCTTGAAGATAACATATGGAATAGGACTATTAGGATGGACTAATGATGTGGCAGAATACAGGTACTTTCCTGGAAATAAATAAGAAGAAATGTTTTATAAGGGGAAAAACATCTAGAAGCCAGGAACCTGTGCTGATAGAATTAGAATAATACTGCATTCTTGCATTGTAATTCAATAAGGGAACTCTTCAAGAGGACACCACCGTCTTAAATTCTATTGGATGTTGTGGCTCAGTGGATTGAATGCCAGCCTGAGGACCAAGGGGTCACCGGTTTGATTCACAGTCAGGGCACATGCCTCAGCTGCGGGCCAGGTCCTCAGCTGGGGGTTTGCAAGAGGCAACCACACATTGATGTTTCTCTTCCTTTCTTTCTTCCTCCATTCCCCTTTCTCTAAAAAATAAATAAAATATTTTTAAAAATCCCATTGGAAATGCTTCTGATTTTCTGGTTGCTTTTCTTTAAAAATTTTTAAAATTTATTGATTTGAGAGAGAGACAGAAAGACAGACAGACAGACAGACAGACATCGATTTCTGGTTCCACCTATTTATGCATTCATTGGTTGATTCTTATATGTGCCCTGACCAGGGATGGAACCCTCACAACTTTGGCATATAGGGATGATGCTCTAACCAACTGAGCTATCTAGCCAGGGCCCAGTCATTTTTCTCAATTTTCATTAGAATCAACTAGATTAGTAAACACCAAAATGTGCTTCCATGTTCCCACATGTTTTTACATGTTATTTATGATCCTCAGGAAATTTCCTGATCTTGATAGGAAGATAGCTAAAATTAGGGCATATTTTACCCTCTCCCTTTCCTAAGCCCATATCCCTAATCTATGGTCAATATACAGAATCCTTTAATCCTTCCAGTTCGAGAAATTTGGATTTCTAGCCTTTGTCACTTCAAAAGCACACTGTACACCCATCATTGCAGGTTGAGAGGTACCTTTTGTTTAGAGTGTCTCTATATGAGTCCTCACATTCACTCTTGAACCTCCTGATTTTCAGCTTGCTAATTTCTTTCCTCTTTATCAGTCAGTTGGGGGCAGTTGCTGTATTCTTTGGTGTTTACTCTCTCTCTCTCTCTCTCTCTCTCTCTCTCTCTATATCATCTATCTATCTACACAGTCTGAATCTCTCTTCAAATATGATGGATGTGTATGTGTGTAGTCAATTCTTTTTCTTTGTTAGGGAGGCTACTCTCCCAAGATTGACCTAAGATCGTCAGGAGCCATTTGTCATGTAGAACCCTGAGCTAAATATATCATTTACTCCTCAATGTTTTTCCTCTTGATTTTGTAAGGGTAAAACATGCTTCTCAGAGAGCAGTGTGCCTGATATCCTATGAGATTCCAACTAGAATAAATCTTGACCTTATTGAAAATCGCTATTGGCCCAGGAAAAAGCAGCATTCTGGCAAAGAGACAGAAAATAAAATACTCTGAGCTTCCTGGGGCTACTTCCTATAATCCAGGTCGCCTGCTCTCTCACGGCCTTTTGCGTAACTTCTAAACAAATTCAACTCTTTCACACAGCAGCAAATTTAACTGTTGCTGTACTCTGTCGCTGTGCCAAAGAAAATAGTCTTTTGTATTTAAAGGAAAGAAAACAAGGTTTCATGACTCTGTAAATAGCAAAGAAAATAAATGACAACAATGAAAGGGTAACGGGGAATACTTTCATACATGGGTTATTTACTAAACCCTGGAAATTTACCAGCAGGGTTAATCTGGAAAGATTAGCTAGATTTTTGCTTTTCCTGTTTATTTTAAAGAAATTGGGTGTGTTATTTCAAAGTCCTAAAAGAAAAAGAACTAGGGGCAAAGATGGAGCCATTAGCAAAAGGCATCCAAATAGGAAAGGAGGAAGTAAAGCTATCATTGTTTGCAGATGACATGATAGTGTACATAGAGAACCCTGTAGACTCTACCAAAAAACTCCTCAACCTAATAAGTGAATTTGGCAAAACAGCAGGATACAAAGTCAACATTCAGAAATCAAAGGCATTTTTATACACAAGCAATGCAATAGAAGAAGAAGAAATCAGAAAAAAATACCATTCGATATAGCAAGAAGAAAAATCAAGTACCTAGGCATAAATTTAACCAAAGACGTAAAAGACCTGTACACAGAAAACTATACAACATTGAAAAAAGAAATTAAGGAAGACACAAATAAATGGAAGCATATACCATGCTCATGGATTGGAAGAATTGATATCATCAAAATGTCCATACTACCCAAAGCAATGTATAGATTCAATGCAATCCCTATTAAGATACCAATGACATATTTCACAGAAATAGAACAGCAATGAAATCAATAAGGAAAAAAAGTCTTCTGGAAATCTGCCAAAGTGACATTGCCTTATTCAAGCACACTAACTCCCAGTTGCGCTGGATGGTTTCTAAAGAAAGTTAAGAATGAACGTAGCTCTGGGTGGCCAGTGGAAACTCATTCTCTTATAAAGATCAGTGTCCTAGACTGGGTTTTCCCTAAGTAGAGGCTAAGACAAAGCCTTGAGTGAAGGCAATTCATCTGGGAGGTGTTCTCAGGGAGCAGGACTGAGGGGCAGATCAAGTAAAAGAGAGGATAAAAAGTCAATAAAACAATGTGTTTTTATTAAGTTGACCACCATTCCGGTGGATCCATAACATAGAACTTTCTGAAGGGGCTCCTGTCCCCATTGTTCAGGGCCAGCCCTGCAGGCATTATTCCCCCCACTCTCAGGTTATACATGCTTGAGTGCCAAGGGAGTTCCTGTGGCTGTTCCATGCCATTATGTCAGAGAAGCCCAGGGAGGGAGAAAGAGGAATGCGGTGTGGGCCTGAAGCAAGGCTCTATGCAAAACAAATTACCACCTTGGAACTGGTCTCTGCAAATGTGACTAGGGTAAGAGGAGGGGCTGAGAGAATATAAAATAGAATGAGAGTGAGGTCCATTAACAGTTGACCCCTTCCACCACTCAAATATGTGCATGTTCTCCTTTACTTATAAGTCCCATCTATCATGGTGGTAGCCAGGCATAACTCCACAAAGGCTTAATACAAAATAGTGGAACAAGCTCCAAACCCTGCTGGTCTTGAGGCCATATTTGATGTTCATTAGCTCTCTCCTGTAGCACCCAATCTTGATTCCCCTCATCATCAGGCAACACCTTGGCTGCCCTGGATTTCTTTCCTCATAGGGCAACTCAGACTTCACTGAGAGATCTGCTTTGACTTTGTCAGGCCATGTTTCCTGTAGTAGCCTGTTCAGCATTGTCAATAGGCATGGAAGCACCAAGAGATGCTTCCAAGAATCCCCAGGTTTCTGGATATGTTCTTTGCTTTACTTCATCAGGTAGCAATAACCTTAACTCCCATTATAACTAGTGACAATTACTTCAATATTGTAACTTTTCTCAACTGGTTGATTCATTGGTATCAGGAGCTCAAATGACCAGGTGGTAGTATCAGCTTCAAGTTCAGTGGAAATATTCTCCAGTGTATTCTCTTCAAGAAAAAGGTGGTCTGACAGTGCTACTCTTTTGCATGAACAGGAAGCACAATTTCCACAAGTAGAAAAACTGGCAGTGATTGGCAACCATCTCTTCATGATTTTCTCTATTATTTATGCCCTCATTTCTTATTTCCTTCCTTCTATTCACTTTGTATTTAATTTTCTGTTTATTTTTTGCTTTATGTGGTAGAATGATATAGCATCAACTTTAATCTTTCTTCTTTTCTATTCTAAGCACTGAAAGTTATAAATTTCCCTTTAGCACTGCTTTAGCTGAGTCCCATATATTTTCATATGTTGTGTTTTCAATACTATTTTGAAATGTTTTTATTAAACATATGTTTTTTTAGCCGTATGTTGCTTCATTTCTCAATATTTGGAACTTTTCTGAATATCATTTTGCTATTGACTTTAATTCCTTCATAGTCAGAAAATATACTTTATATTTAGTTTTGAAATTCTTGAGACTTGTTTTATGGCCCAGCATGATCTGTCCTGGTGAGTGGCCCTTTGTGCATTTGAAAAGTACATTAGTGCAGTGGTTATTGTCTGCGAGGTTTTGTGAAAGTCAGGCTGGTCAATTTTATTACTCATATTTTCAAATTCTGTACTGATTTTTTTTTCTCCACTTGTTCTCAT